ATAACCACTGTTTTATGAAAATGAAAGATTAAAAATTTTACTGTATTAGGAATTCGAATTTTATTAATTTGGTTACCAAATTAAAGAGTTTTAAGTTTTTATTTAGGAAAGGTTCTTAATATCATTAACATATTTTTGTATTGTTGTTGCATTCGAATTCTCAGAATTTTCTAATTATTTTAAGAATGACGTAAATATAAACTTTGAAGGCTCTTATCTTAAGGAAAAAATACTTGATTTTTTTCATATATATATACTTATTAATTTTATTTATAATAGAGTGACGTTAATTTTTTCTTCATACATGAATGGAATGTTTTAGTGCAGTTCAAAAAGGCCAGATAGGAATAGTGGCCTTTTAAAAGCAATTACTGAGCATGCCATTAACCATTGGTAAATTAATATATCAATTTGTTAATGTTGATTTGCCCATAAGATAGAATGTTAGTATTTAGAGAAAGCTTGGGGTCTTCCAGTTTTATACAAAAAATAAGTAAATTAGATTAAATGTCTTAATTATAAGTAGCATAATTTGGGTAAAACTATTTCAAATTATATTAAATGGAATGAAAACTAGTTATATTATAAAGTTTTGAAATTTGTTTTGATTAAGTACAATAACTAATGATGTATTCAAGATTTTTTAATTAGAAATATTGTGTGATAATTTTTAAAAGTCCTTCCATAAACAAGTATGAAAATTCAAAAGACTTAATTATGATAATTTTACTTATAAATTTGATTCTTTCTCTCAATCTGGCTTCTTTTTAACTAAAATTGTAAACTGAGAATTCTGTTTTTCTAAATTTATAACACATAACTTGCGTATACAAGGTATTTTCTCCCTCCTTTCTGCATGCCTTCGTGGTGTAACGGTAGCACACTCGGCGCGTATTCGAGAGGTCCAAGTTCAAGTCCCAGCGAGGGCACTGCACATTAGGCTCTTCTGCTTAAAAAAAAAAAAAAAAAAAAAACCCTTAAGAACTCTACAGTGGCGCCCGAACTAAAAAGGTTGTGGATGATGATTCTTCACCACCAGGATCTGGCAATCGAGTCCCCTAATAGTTAATTGTCTTAATCCGAATTTTAATTTTTGTATATTTATTTTTCATTTCAAATATATTATGTAAAGAATTTTTATGGTCATAAAGCTCGAAACTTTGATATTTTTCATAAAGTACTAAACGCTTATATCAGGAACGGAGGATTTTTATGTCAATTGTTGTTAAGCATGCCACACCCATCAGCAAGTAGTTACGCTGATCCATTTGTTGAGGTTCTGCCATTTTTTCATCAAAAATTTTTATAATACTGTATTTTACTTTTTAATTTCTGTGTATCAACTATTATATTGTTTTAAAAGAAGAGAATTCTAATTTTGTTTTATAATGAGTAAATAAATATTGATTTTAATAGAATTTTATGGATGTGTAATTCAAATATTTTAATTTTATCCATAGTGCAGTATTTAGTTTTTATAAGAGATTTTCAGCTGCTAGATTTATTATGTAATCCTTAAATCAAAGTTTAAGAACTGTTCACGTTTTAAACGATTTTGAGAAATACTATTTCAAGAAAAATTTCAAGAATTTTACAAAATCTATGTTTTAGAGACTTTCAAGTTGAACTCTAAATTGAATTTACAAATTATATCATGTATTATTCTAATATTTCTAAATCACATCTGAAAACAATTCATTGACTTTCATTAGAATTACATAGATTGTACAAAATTTCTCTTCTTGTGCCTCTGTTCTAATGCTTTTTCTTAAAAGTCTTTTTCTCACTGAAGGGAAGGAGTAATTGGACAACTTGGGAATAACTGTAATGGGCTGGAAGACAGACGTGGCCGAATTCAGCATAACTTTACTATTTATTAATTCCATTTACTTCCTTCTTTCTTTACCTAGTATTGAAAATTCAAATTTTATTTATTTTGTGCCATCTTGTAAGTATCAGCATTAGTTTTCGTTCACCGTCACTTGACCTCCGAACACCAAAGGAGATGAATTCCTAGCCCAAGCTTCGGACTGGCTCCCGTAGGCATTTGGCTGCCCTAAAACTGGTGATCTAAATTCACGCCATACCGCTTGGTTCTGTTCTAATAAGAACAGGTTTGGCATTAGTCTAAATTCATGGGTTCAGAGCTCTCGTGTACAGATCATAGCTCCTACTGCCCCGACTAACTACCCTGTAAGAGGTCCCCGCATTCTTGATTTGGTGCTTTTATCATTTTCTTTCGGCATGAATTAAAATGATTCAAGAGTTAGATTCTGATCACTACCCTGTTTGATTACCCTAGATATTCAAAATCGATACGAAAATTAGAGGAGCAAGCTCAACAAATTGGGACGATTTTCGGTTAATTTTGGAACTTACAGCACCCCCCTATCAAAAATTTCCAGCAATGCGGACTTTGACAGGTGTATCAAAACATGGAATCTTTACTAAAAGAAACGAGAGCCGCGGCTCGAAACCATCACACAACCGGCGCTAGGCTCATGCCGGATCTAAATCCAAAATTAAGCGGCGCACTACCTGCGAAAACTTTGGCAGAGAACAGTGATCTCAGTTATCCTGCTCAATTTCGCAGACTACAGAACGAGATAGGTCGAAACCCGCTTGGAAAACACATTGAGTCCCTAACGACGACGACGGGTCGTTTGGCGCGCTGCCGCCCAACTACGAAACAATATAAACACATTCCGCCCCATGAAAACGGCCAATGTAACCAGATGCTTTTACAGACACTGAAAGGCTGAGTTATTGCTGACAGTCTTGCTACACAATTCAGTCCAAAAACGACGCTACTGTAACCGCCCGGTTACAAGGGGCGCATACACTCACGTGTTGAACATTTCTTACGCCCCATCACGCCTGATCTGAGGCCGACTGATCCAACGAAGTGCTGGAGTTCATCGATAAATGAAGCTAAAGAAGCCTGGCATAGATTAAATTTCGAACCGCATGATTAAAAACTTCCCCATTATGTATATGGTATGGATTACGGTCTTGATTAACCTTATGCTTAAAAGATGTTACTTCCCTGTTTGTTGGAAAACTGCCGCAGTCATTTCTATTCCAAAACCGGGTCAAAATTTAAATCTCCTCGTCAACTACAGACTGGTTAGCCTCTTTTCATCTCTCTCAAATATATATGAATTTGTTTTACTTAAACGGCTGAATGAATTCTGCCGTGATCAAAATTTAATAATCCCGGAACCATTTGGCTTCCGGTCTGAACACTCCACGGTACACAAGTTACTCCATGTAGTGGAATTCATGCACGAGGGCTTTCGTAAACGAGAGAAAACTGGAATTGACATTGCCAAGGCCTTTGACAGGACTTGCCATGACGGGCTTATTTACAAGTTCATGCGGCTTGGTTTTTCGGCATAACTCATTAAAACTATCAACTCGCACCTGACGAGTAGATCCTTTCGGGTGCGAGTTCGCCATGAATATTCAAATCTTCGCCAGATCTGTGCTGGGGTCCCACAGGGAAGTTTGCTCGGACCTCAATTGTTCAACATCTACGTGAATGACATGTATGTCAAAGCTAGATTGACATTAGGTGACTTATGTATACCTAATGTCAATCTAGCTTTATAATACGGACGACACAGCCATCACGAACCAACATTCCAACACCTCCACGGTAATTTCTGCACTCAGAATTATCTTTAGCCTTGACCTCTGGCTCGGACTGTGGAAGATCAAAATTAATGTCGCTAAACGTGCTGCCACTTTATTTATCCGAAGTACTTTCCCAAATTTACCAAACTTGCAGTTCTTCGGAGAACCAATTCCCTGGGTTCCTAGCTATAAGTATCTAGGAGTGATACTTGATTCAAAATTAACTTGGCAACCTCACATTCAAAAAACAATTTCCAATGCGAAGGTTGTCAAAACCCAATTACTGCCTTTTTTTCGCTAGAAATACCGACCTGTCCACGAAATACAGGATTTTGCTCTATAAATCAATGATAAGGCCAATTCTGACATATGCTAACCCGGTTTGGGGCGCAGCAGCAATTACTAACAGGAAACATATCCAAATTTTCAGAACATTATGTACAGCCAATTATAAGCTCCTTGGTTTGTTACGAACGAGGACATTTATAATGCAGCCAAAATTCTCCCATAAATCGCTTTATACAGCGACTTTCGGCTAACTTTTTCCAAAAGATTCCTTCGATCGGAAACCCTGTACTCTACAGCCTCCCTGTTTATCATCCGGGAATTGCATCAAAAGAGACCCAGAGCTATTCTAGAGAACGCATATAATGCGCTTCCTTTTCCCAAGAGGCGTTGCTATGCAGACGAGGCGCCTCGAAGTCAATACACTCGTTCGCTTTCCCCCGCCTGAGTGAATTCGCTGATCTTTCAGCTTCCCTCAGGGTCCTTTTCTCTTTGTCCCGTAATCGGCCAATCTTACTTCTTTCAACCGTAAGCGGTTGTTATCAGGCTCTAAGCACATCTTTGTTCCCTTCTTGAAAGGGTTCTAGTGCAAGGATTACTTCATTTAAATTTAATCTCTTTAAGAGAACTTAATGCTTTTTCAATAGTTATCATAACATTTAAAGTTAATACAATCTTATTATATTTATAAAAGTTTCTCCTCAGAGGCATTGCTGGCCGTGTCTTTTTCATTCAAACTTGCCTAACGAGTTCCTGCTTTTTCCTTCCCCCATACCCGAAGCACTTGAAGGTTTTCGCGAGTATTTCCGTTCTCGTGTTATTAACACCACATGACCATTGATCAAGGAAACATTGATGCTTTTTCAAAATTCATGATGTTAAACCCCTCCAAATTGATTCTGGGCCTTATTCGAACACCAAAATTACTAAATTTAAGTCCTTCAGTGTTTTTACCTTTTTTGGCTGTGGAAGGCAGTTACTCTTTTTGTTAAATTAACATTTTGGCACTAATTACCTCTTGCGGAACCCTCTTTTTGGCGATAAAGATAATTCTTTGACGATGTGGGGATAAAGACTACATGCCTAAGAGCCCCGTAATAGAACCCTTCCTTGGTCCTTGGTGGCCAAATACTCAGGATCAAGCTCCAGCCAATGGACCTGCCTCCTCATTATGCCTCACTGGATTGGACCCTAAAAATCATGTGATTACTGCGTTCTCTGGATGTTCCCGCCCCTACGAACTCTCTGCTATTAGTATTTGCCTGCTGACACCGCCACGAAATGTAACTCTTCACGGTAACTCATGGTCCCTCTCCTTCGTCACCACTCCTTCGCTCTCGTGGATCTCCAACGCCATAGATATGCCAAAATCAAGTATCGTTTTGTGGCAGTATTTTCAACTGAGCTGCTAACATCGCAACATACTTCAGCTATAATTCAATTTTGGTTATATTGGTATTTGGTACTCTCTCTCTCTTTCGCCTGCCTGCTGACAGCGTACCGCTCAGACTGTGCTAGCTCTTCGCCATTATTTAAAATGTTATTGCATATTTATAATTATGGGCGGGTTTAGCACCCCTAATCTTCTACCGGTTATGAAGATATGTGTTAAGAAATTCGTCACACAGAAATAAATTATGTTTAACTATCAAGCTGGTCGTGCTTCTTCTAAAATTCCATCGGGTCATTCTAATACGTCGCAATTTCCGATCAGCTACGCAGCAGCATTTTGGGCCATGACTGGAACGTGAATTGTTTTTATCTTCCGCCAAAAGTACAATATTACATAAATTCATGCTTGCGTGTATGTGTATGTGGGTGTTTTGCAGCTATCATGTTCTGACAGTACGATTGTAAATTAGTTAATATTATCCAGGACAAAATAAGAGAATTTTTAAATTCTATGAATATTAAATTTAATAAAAATATTTTTAACTTAAGGATGAGGTTTTTTTTTTTTTCAGATTTAATACAAAATTTTGCTCAGTGTTTCTTTAATTTAATTTTGAGCTTTTTTAGTTGGATGATAACTAAAAAAAAAAAGAAAGTTAACTTACCACAGCAGCCCACCAATTATGGATCTTATAACAATTGTGGGGAGAGAAGAGTTTCGAATTATTTTGTTTTCTTGCGTAATTATAGAAAATCATCTATGCTAATAAACTTATTTTTAATAATTATGCATACAGCTATGAAAGAAATGAAATTTTGAGTCTGATGTTTAAGATGATGGTGCTGGTGGGGATGTACAAAAGTGGAGACATTTTTCTCTGAACATGGAGTCGTCTGATTTTATCAGAGCATATTATCAGATTTCATTATTTCAGCATAATTTATGGAATAATTAGTATAACAAATTTGTAGAAGGCTCTGTCTTCAACAGCTTCAAGTATACGATTCCATATATTTACAGTTTCTAAAGAGGTGAAGATAACAGGTTAGGTAGGCAAAGGCTTGGTTTATGTGATTATGACAAACCCTCGAGGGCTATCTGCCTAAGGGAAGAGATGCCTTCGTGGAGGACTTTCTAAGGAAAACTCGCTAGTATACACATTACACATAGGGAAACCCACGAAAACGCCCATGCAGCCAGCCTGCTTGTGAGATTCGAACCTCGGACCAAACTATCAGTGTTCAGCGACTTTATCGCTCGGCAGCTGGTGGGCCCGGACAAAGACAGGCATTTGAAAAACAAAATCATGCTACTAATGTTAAATTAAGAAAGGTGACGTTGCTTAATTTTTCAGGGGCAGAATAATGCTTTAATACTATTGCTTTGTAAAAGTTTCGGCTCGAGTACTAGTAGGCAAAAATTTGAATTTCATGTTTGCCGTTAAGTAAAAACACGAGTCACTTGCTCGTCGAACCTATACTTAATAGTTCGAGTACGATGAATTTTACACTTATTGTCTTGGGAAATTGATTTGTCTACAACTGAGTTACCACAGCTAGGTTACAATTTATTTTATTTGAAGATACAAAACTAGTTAACTGAAAAGAGAGTTTTGATTCAGAACTACTAAAAGAACCTATTAGTAAATTAAGATTAATAAAGAATGAATACCACTATTCACTGCGAGTGATTTATAGTCAAAATTAAACTAATAAGACATATTTTTTGAATAGATGCTGTTTACAACATGACTGGTGTTATGCGTTCATATCCTGTCCTCAGACACTAATATATTTCGTTCCATACACATGGCAATGCATGAATCCCGGTGCAGCTCACTGTGGTAAGTAGAAAGAATTACAAAAATAGAAAAAGAACTCTAATCATTTATTTAAAATCTCTTTTTACTGTTATTTTAATTTGCAGATAATGTATTATTTCTCTCGTGTGCAGGGAGTCCAGAAAGTCCCTCTACACCGACTTTAAATGCAAAATTATGTATTGTATCCTATGGATTCAAAACGTCCACGTGGGTTCTTCCATATTTTGCCTTTCCTTACCTCTCCTATCACAAAATCCAAATGTGCATTTTTAAACTTCATTTCCAGAAACACTATGTGCATTTTTAAGTCGTCATTGTCAGGAAGCATTGTTTCATGACTATGGGTAGTTTAATGAAAAGCAACGCAGAGTCGTTCCTGATGTCCTGCTTTATGGTTATCTGATGTTCCTGGACCCATACACAAGCCACCGAACACTCTTCTATACTGAAGGCATTTGTGTTTGTAATCACAGCTCGCCAATGTTTCTTGATGCTCCTTTCTATCACCAGGCGATAGTATGGTAGGCAACGACTCAAAATCACGCCTCAAAGAGGCAAGAAAAGCTGCTCATTTTGTATTTTGGCAAGAGATATAAACTGTCTCTTGAGAAACACATTCGTTTCCTGGATGAAACCGTACAACTACAATGTATAGAGACTTTCGATCACCCTGTGCACGTATACTTAAAAAACTCCATTTCTTGATTTTAATTATGACTTATTACCTTGTCTATGTTCCAAATAATTTCCATCATTAACGACGCACTAATTTCTTTTGTTTAATTAAATATGTGTATATGCATCGTATACGGAATCCTATCTGTTTTTAGGTGTAATTTGGCAAAAGTCTCAATTATCCGAATTTTCGATTATTCAAATTTATCTTCCCCAGTTCTTTTAAATGTGGTTTGTCGAAGTTCAGCTTTAAATCAACCCTTAATTTTTGGCTACATATAACGCGATTAGCACGGGCAACGAATTTTGCAGCAGAATATTTAGGAGAGTGTCGATTTTAGCTGTTCTACACTGCTGGCCATTAAAATTGGTATGCTATGAAGGTGGCGTGAAACAAACGTCAAATTTTCATCAAAGGTAGTAATGCAAATGATTAGCTTCTCAACTCATGCGCATAAAGCACATATGAGTAATGCCATCTAGATTGAGTATAAATGAGATTTTCAAAGTGGGTTTCTGCCTTGGAAATCGCATATGGTCACTGGTTGTTTGTTTAAAGGCTATGTTATGCCTCATGTAAGGAGAAACTTCTATAGCAGTATTTGTCGGAATTCAATCGTAGCAGGATCGTGGCCTATCAGGACTGTGGTTTATATTCCGTGGCATTGCAGCTCATGTTAGTTGGGATCCCATGACTAAGGCGATTATAGAATCGATGAGTCCAGAAGGGCCATACTGAACGAAAAGACGGTGGCCCCGCGCCACTAACAACCAAAAAGGCAGGCATGTAAGCCTCTCGGTCTCGCGAGATCGTACATGCATGTCACGTACCGCGTCAGGAACTAGGGTCATGTGCAGGACGGCAAGTGCCGACAGTGACAGTGCTATGATGTGTGCAGCACCATGACTATTAGCACGAAGACCATTGAGTTGGCTTTCCTTGACACTGCAGCAGAGTCAGGTGCACCTACAGTAGTGTGATGAACGATGACACTAGACACAGGATTAGCACTAGGTGGTCTTATCAGATGAATCTCGATTCTGCATACAGCATCATGATTCATGATGGACATATCGATATGTGGAGGCACCAAGAAGATCCAACGTTGCCAGCTAGAATTCATTATCGTCATACGGGCACAGGATCTGCAGTGATCGTATGGAATGCCATTGGATATGTCGGTCACCTCTTATTCATACAGCCGTTAACATGGGCAGCCAACGTGACATATCTGATGTGTTAAGGCCGCTGCTTTGCTCTATCTTCGAGGCCTGCGTGACACCGGTTTTCAACAACAGAATGCGCGACCCTATGTTGCCCTGACCTTCCACGATATGAAGGATGTTCGACCACTACTCTGGCTAGTACGTTCTCCAGATCTCTCACTCACCGAGAACATCAGGTGACTGGTTTCAGAGAGACTGACATGCCATGTCAGGCACTTTGACGGAGGAACTCCGACATAGGGCTAAATTCACATGGAATGCAGCACACATATCTGTCATCCAAGCTCTGTTCGACTCGTTGCACACCCGGATTACAGTCGTTATTGCAGTCAGAGGTGACAGCTCTAATTTTGCACGCTGTGTACTGCAAATCACGGAAAATATAATCTTGTCTTCCTCCCATTATAATGCATATACCGTGCTTACTCACATAATAGTCGCATCCCCGTTCTGAAGTGGAAAAAATCGCCATAGGTGTACAATATTGTGCATTAGATTTCTCTGCATAATAGTCGCATCAAGACTTTCACAATGAAAAATTGGCAAAAAAGTGCGGTTATTACGCGAGTTAATACAGTATATATATATATATATATATATATATAATAAATAAGGCTCTGCTATTTACTTTCCTTCCTGATGTCGCAATTTTAACGGTGTATTCATTTCCAAGCGTATATATTTATTTGCTCGTACAATTCTTTTCACCTTCTTCGGCAATGCAAGTTTTGTGTGTACTGACTCTTTTAAGTTCCATTTTGTCCAAAATACGGCAATAGATGATCACTAATTTCATTTTTAAACAAAAAATTGTCCCCTTCCCAAAAAAAAAAATACTCTCATATGAATTACAACGCGGAATAAAATTTTGTATATTATGTTGCTGATATTTTTGTATTATGATCGGCCATTTTTGTGATACCAACGATTACACCTTTCTCGAAATCAGATAGCTCTGCACTTCGTGGTATCTTGCATACCACTAACGCCAATGTTGTTTCCTACAAGATATTTAATGATGGAGGGCGTGACGCATATCAAAACCGCAAATATCCGCATTTGCTTGGATGTCCAATTACTTATTGGTAGATAAGGTACATATATAAAAAAATGCATCAGCAAGAAACCTGCTTATGGGTGACAGTTGGAAGCTAAAGCAAAGGAACTAGCACTGCTTATAGATAGGAAAAACTTCAAATATAAAGAAGGATGGTTTTTATGTTTCAACTTTCGGTCCAATATTGTCCAAAATACTATGTGTAGAGAAAGTGTCAATGTAGGCAGCAATCCTTACACTGAATTTATTGAAGAGCTAACCAAATCTCCGGTTATTCAACTAATGCTACATTTAAGGCAAATGAAACCGATTTGTTTTATAAACGTTCTCTAAATAGGACTTTATTTTCGAAGGTGAAATAAACACAAGTAATAAAGACAACAAAGAAAGAACAATTATAATGGCAGCTGCCAGAATGGATCAAGTCAAATTTAAATAACTAGTAAACCACGATGCTCTAAATGTTTAGCTTATCAATAATGCATCAAATATTAAGGCGTGGATGCACATGAAATCTGTATCAACTGGAAAAAATCTGAATGAATACTTGTCTTTGCCGAAGCAGGAAAATTCTACTACTATCAGGTAACGCTTTGCAGTCACAGTAAACTTCCCGAATTGAACGCCACTTGCGTTGAATAAACACCTAATACAACTGCTGCACTGTAGCTGATGGATCTAGATTTCCTTCAAAATCAGAATTCTTGTTGACGTAAGACTGTTGGAATAAGTTTATTGTTTAACAGATTATAATTAAAGTTATGGTGTCAAAAATGAAATGATTAATGTCCCATTATCAGTGACTCTGGTGCAGCCTAGTCACTGATAGACTTGCAACAATAACCAACTGCTTTCACTACGCCGGATTCATTCACTCTTCCATATCGAAATAGAAAACCAGTAGATTAATTTTCTAATTAATGAAATATTTAAATGTGATAATTCAGATTTCGTAAATTTTATCTCAGATTTTGATGTTTACGAACAGTTAGGGGAAATTACTAACTATTCCTCCAACGTGCAACAAAATGAATAATGTCGGTTTGAGCTTCTGAGGCATAGTTTATGCCGACCGGAAAATCAGTTACGCAATACATTTATTCTCACGTACATTACATAAAAAAATTGCAATGGCTGCTAAAATTCGAAGAACTGGGTAAACTATCTAAAGGGGCAGACAAACAATCGTTGATTTCTGTCCATAACAATGTTTGTATTTAAACAGCTATTTGAAACCCATTCTTCTGTTACAAATTATTTTTTTGGGCTCTCCATTAATTTTAGCTTCGGTTTTCTTCATTTTTTTTTCAAATTTTAATGTTGATTTCCCGGAATAATTGGAAGAGCTTTCTTAAGTCCGGGGATCTTAGAAAAAGTAAAGTGGATTACCTTTAGACTTTTCTTCTGTGCTTTAGTTACATATTAACTGAATGTGAAATTTATTATTTCAGGTGTTGCATCTATGCCAGGTGTGTCACAAAAGTGTGCAACTCAGCTATGTGAGTGCGATCGAGAATTTGCTCGGTGTGTTAGCAACTACCCATGTCCTCGAAAAAAGCCTGGTTGTAAAGAAAGCAACTACATTATGTTGCAGACTATGAGTAACAATGACATTTAGTCACAATGAACTCCAGCATCTACAGAAAAAAATCTTATCATCTTTAGAATGATATAAAGTAAAATATAAACACAGGAGAACCTTTCCTTTCCTTCACATGCGGTTTAAAATAATTCGGAAACCATCCCGAAAGTACCTGTGCGACGAGATTCTTTTGGGGAGTCAAAAATTATATGTGGAGGATTTGCAACTGCTCAAAGTGTCGGCGTTACTAACCCAGCGTGGCTGAGTGTTTAACAGCTACGTAATTATAGCAATATATTTTTTTAATTTACCGAATTTTAAAGCATACTTTTCTAATCTAGAAAAGAAAGGCTTAATCACAAGATTCCTGAAATAATAAATAATTTCCTTTGCGCATTTGTAAAATACCTGACTTCACACTGGACTGGATTGAACTGATTATGGCAAGCACACACTAAGGTTATCTTCCTGAGAGAACACTACCTCATATCCATATCATGTATGGATATGAGGCAAAAGCTCATCCGTAATCAAACATAAGTCGAATTATGTTAGGTTGGCTTATCCTTTCGACCATAAAGTTTCTGATGCCATTTATACATTCTTCACTTACTGTTAAACTATTAACGTCTCAAATAATACTGTACACGTCACAGAAATCACTAACTCTTCAAGTCTCTGCCAAGTACGTATTAACAATGAAGATGCTTTTCATACGAAGATTGCCTTTTCAGAGTTTTACATATCAGATACCTGATAGCTCTGAATTTAATAATACCCACTAAAATACAATCAATTCTACTATTCTTTCCTATGCACTAAAACGTTTCTAGAATATCTAGCATAGTATTTATAAGTTTTACGGAAGTACTTAAATGCATGCCTTCCTCTTGCACTGCTTTATTGATTTGAAAGAAAGTAATGAAGCAGATTTCAAAGCATAAAAAACTCAATTTTGTGTTCACAATTACTAAATATACATCTCAATAAAATAGATAGTGCCCCACTTAAAAATTCTAGGTCTTGACGTAACAGAGCAACAATTTTCTCAGGAAAAATTGAAGTACCAATTTGGTACTTCCAACAAGAAACATAATCTCACCGCCAGCTCATTTCGACTATATTAAAATTTCTTTAAACATAATTAATACATCTCTCGAATTAGTTATTTCGATAAACAAAGAACGAAATAGTATTCCACGACATGAAGCTACGCCAGCATCTCTATAGTATCATTGGTGATTCAGGTATCGCTGAGCCTAGTTGATGTTAGAAACGACACCCATCAATGCGCCAACCCCCTGAACCAACATGATCTTATGGACACCCTGTATTGTTTTTATATGTTAGACAAGTGCTCAGTGATGGTTACGTGACGTACACAGTTATGATTAATAATAATAGATACAGTTACATATGTAACATCTCCTATTTTAACAAAAATAATGATGAAAATAAAATTATACATATTATTTTAAATAATGAGGTTTTTTTAACAGTCCTACCAGATTGAATAATGTAGTTATGTCCATTTGCAAAATTTGGTGATGCAATATCTCTTTCAGTATTTGGTGGCACAACACTTCTGTTAGGTTTTGAAGAACTTACAGGTACATCTAAATTTGAAGTGCTCCTGCTATTCTCAGGTATCTCGAGTTCATCTATAACTTCATTCTCAGGACGGTAAAATTCTAGTATACGGTGCAGTCTTGGCGCAATTTTGAAAATTATCGCCAACACCAAAATAACCTGTTTAACTACTCATCGTATATGTCCCGTTTAGTGCTCATCATAAAGTTGCCAAAAGAAGCCAAATCCCTTGTGCACCGGATACTAGGATTAAACCCTCAGGACTTTCATTTTCAGAGTTGTTTTGTATTGCAAACTCTTTCTGATTAGTTCCCTTAAGAATGTCTCTTCTGTTCCTTTCTACAATTCTTCCATCTGTTCTTATAATCCTGTACGTGGTCTTTTTGCTTCTTCTATATTTTCCCATTTTCATTTTTTCCTTTTCTCTTTTATGTACACATGATCTCCTACCTTCAGTGGTTTTAATGGTCTTGCATTTATATCATAATAGCTTTTTGTATGGTTTGTCTCTTCAGTAAATGTTGTTTATGGTCTTCATATCGTTTAGCTTCGATGAAATTCTCTTTTATAGGCATCAATCCATTTACTTTTCTTCCAAACATCAATTCTGAAGGTGACTTAATTTCATCTGAAATAGGAGAGTTACGATATCCCAGTACTGAATTTATACAGTACTATAGTATATATCTAGAATAGCCTTAATTTTATATATTTATTAATTAATAATTTAGATATAGTAGCCTTAATTTTACTTAATTTAGATACAGTATACATCTAGAATAGCCTTAATTTTGTTTTCATCTGGTTTTAAACCATCTCACTTAATTCAGCCAAAAATTTGCATTTGCTTAAATTAAATTTAAATATGGATCTTTGTTGTCAACTACAGCTTTTTCAGCATTCGCTTGACAGTTTGAATATGTCTTTCAACCATTCCATTACATTATGAGTAATTTGGACTTGAAGCTCTGGTTTCAAAATTCCATCTTCTTGCAAATTCTTTACATTACCTGCAACTATATTGTGGACCATTATCCAAATATACTATTTACGGAATACGTTTTGCAAAAATTGATTTCAATTGCTTTATCACTGCTACATTTCACAAATCATCCAAATGTCCAATTTCAAGATATTTGCTAAAATAATCTATAACTATTAGATAATCCCTTCCTTGAAAGAGAAAGAAAAAAAAAAAAAAAAAAAAGAGATCGGTTCCCAATACTTCCCATGGACCATTAGGTATTTCTTTAGATATTGCTTCTTAAGTGTTAGCTTTTTGTAAACTTAAACATGTTGGATAATTCAGTACCAAATCTTCAATTTCTTTTGACATTCCTAGCCCACCAGCGGCCGAGCGGTAAAGTAGCTGAACACTGGTAGTTATGTCCGAGGTTCGAATCCCGCAAACGGGCTGGCTGCATGGGCGTTTTCGTGGTTTTCCCCATGTGTAACTTGTATACGAGCCAGTTTCCCTTAGAAAGTCCTCCACGAAGGCATTCCTCCCATTAGACAGATAGCCCTCGAGGCTTTACCATAACCACACACACACAACCCTTTTGACATTCCTGGCCAACATAATATTTCTCTTGCTTTGATCTTGCATTTTACTACTCCTAAATAGCCATAATGAATTCTGCTTAACATATCTTTTCGTAAACTTCTTGGTACAATAACACAGGAATTTTTAAACATTAATCCATTTACTTCTGATAGTTCTTCTCTAAATTTAAAATATGGTTTTGCCAGTTCTGAAATCATACATTTTTCATTTGTCCATCCAATTTTAATTAATTTTCTTAAAACTTGTAGTTCTTCATCTTCTTCTGTTTCCAGTTGAAAAACTTCCATTTTACCTTTAGACATTGGTATACATTCTACAACCAATCCAACATGAGCTTCTATGTCTCCTTCAAAGAAATCAGATCCTTTATCAGTGAATAATCTTGATAATGCATTCGCTATAAAAAGTTCTTTTCCTGGGTTATATTTTATCTCAAGCTGATATGGCTGCAATCTTATACGCATTCTTTGTAATCTTACAGGGCATTTATTTAATGGCTTTTTAAAAATTGATTCCAGTGGTTTAAAATCATTTTTAACCACTGGTTATTAATATATTTTCCAAATATTTACTGGTGAAATTTCTCACACGCAAATGCAATAGCTAAAGTTTCCTTTTCAATTTTAGAGCATAATTCTTCTGTATATCCGTTAATGCCTTAGAAGCATACGCTACTTGTAAATTATTCTGCAGTAAGACTGCTCCTAGTCCTTCTTGAGATGCATCTACAGATAAAGCTACTGGCATATTTATATCTAAATACTGTAAAACTGGTTTATTTACTAAGACATATTTAGTCTTCTAACTGCTTTTTCATGTGTTGCATTCCAGTTCGGCATAACTTATTTTTTCAATAAATCTCTTAAACATGATGTCAATTCTGATACATTAGGTATAAATCTAGAAACGTGTATAATGATTCCTAGGAAAGTTCCATGACATTTTTTGGTGGTTTTATATTTAGAATAGCCTTAATTTTGTCTTCATCTGGTTTTAAACCATCTCACTTCATTCAGCCAAAAATTTGCATTTATTTAAATTAAATTTAACATTCTTTTCTCTCTGTCCAACAACTTCTTTAATCTTAAATGATGTTCTTTTTTATCTTTTACCCAAACATAAGTCATCTATATATATTTGAACTCCTTCTAAATCACTAAAAATTTCATAAAAACTTCTGGCGATGTACTCAGTCCATATGGCAACCTTAAAAAACAGTATCTACTAAACAGAGTAGTAAATTCACAGCTTGAATCTGGCAGTTTAATTTGCGAAAATGCTTTGTCTGCATCTAAAATATTAAACACTTGTGCATTTGAGATGAAATTTCTTCGAAGGTTGGTATGTGATAATGTTCTCTCAGTATATTTTGGTTAAGGTGCTGAGGATCTAAACACACTCTTAAATTACCATCCTTTTTTCTTACTACAACTAATGAAGTCACGAATTCTGTAGGTTGGTTAACTTTCTTTATAATACCACCTTTTTCCATTCTTGCCAATTCCTTTTTTTAATGGATTTAATAAGCTAAGTGGAATTTTCCTACAGGGCTCTATTTTACTAAACAGCTCCTGGTTTTAATTTAATGTGATATGTATACCCACTTAAATTCCTAATTCCTTTAAATAAATTTCAAAGCCTCTCAAATATTCTGGTAACTTTTCATTTGAATCAGGATTTACTGTACAAATCCTTTGTACTAGGTTAGGGAAACCTAAAATAGCTGGAACAGTCTTATAACATGCTACTACTTGAAATTTTACTTCATCCTTGTCCCCTTTTGATGTTTCACATAATAATTTGCATTTTCCGACTACATCAATTGTAGTACCATTGTAATTATTTAAAGTGATTTTTGATTTAGTCAAACATTTATCTCTTAAATTTAATTGTTTAAATTTTAGGCAATGGCAACACATTACACTGAACACCAGTATCCAACTTAACAAATAAATATTTAGACTTGTTTACTTTTAGTCTTTCAAACCATTCTGTTCTATGTTTAGAAAATGGATTTGTATCTTCTACTGACCCTAAAATATATTCATTACCATAACAACTCATACTCTAAATTATTCTGTACAACATTATCATTTTTAGAAAAGTGACTTTTCTTTTTACAGTACAAGCAAATCTTATTATAATCAGGACAATTGTATAACTTATGAAAAGTTCCACATTTTCTACATGGTTTCGGATTATCATATGCATTTCCCTGATAGTCTGAAGATGATTTAGTACTTTGTTGCTTTTGTTTTACATGATATTTTTTCTTACAAGGCTGACTTTTTTCCTCTGAAGGTGGAAATTTTTTCCGTTTGATAACTTCTATTTTATTTTCTTCAGTTAAAGTTTTCAGCTGAAGTTCTGCTAATTCAGAAGATTTACATATTTTAATACATTTCTCCAATGTTAACCAATCTTCCCTTAATAATCTATCTGAGATTTTTATTTAGGAATTCCACTTACTATTGTATCTCTTATTAAACTATCTTTTAATTCTGCAAATCCATAGTTGCTACTTAATTTCTTTAAATCTGTTAAAAAATCATCAAATGATTCATCTACATATTGTGTTCGACAGAAAATCTATCAACACTTTGCTTTCAGTATGCAAAAATTTTCCGAATGCTTCAATTATATTGTTAACATCCTTCTTATCTTTTTCACTTAAATTAAAAGTATTAAACTTTTCAAGTGCTTCCTTACCAATAATATGCAATAAAATAGCTACTTTAATCTCAGGAGATTTAGTAATACTACCAGACGCTAACACATAAATTTAGCATTTTTGTTTCCGCTTCTTCCAATTTTCGCTTAAATTACCTTCGAAATTTAGATTACTTGGTGGCTTTAATCCATCCATATTTAACTGAAAACTTTAAATAGTTTATAACATATTTTTAGTCACTTCAAATAAATATAAACAACGCACTTACCAGCGATGGAAGTTTCAATTTCACTGTAAACAACTTCCCATCCTGTTTTAGTTTAGAATGTCTTTACTATTATTCACAAGTGACACTGCATGGTTCTTTAAAAAAATATCTTTTTAATCTACAGTCGACTACGCCATGTATTATTTTTATATGTTAGATAAGTGCTCAGTGATGATTACGTGATGTACACAGTTATTATTAATAATAATAGATACAGTTATATATAATAACACACCCTATCCAAGTGCTGCACCCGTCATTTTAATTAAAATTGAATTCTGTACACATACTAATCATTTATATATAATTTAATCACATATTTGTGAGTCTGAAATATTTGCTTTCTTACAATGGTATTTTCTTTAAGTGACTTGGTATATGTTGTGTTCTGAAGGTACAGAATTACTTTGCATATTTTGTTTTGCAGATATTTGCTTTTATGATACTTTTTTTAATGTTTGCGTATTTGACAGATGTTTGTGATCCTTTGTCAGATTGCAAATGAATATATAATGATCAGGGTTACCTCTTTCTCCACAAGTACACATCTCTGTTGGAAATTTTTCTGACATAAAAATACACGAGGAAGGGGCTGTGCCCTGTTGGATAGTAGCTGATATACAGATTATTGCAATTTGGTAGTTTTTATTATTTTTAGGTTTATTCCATGAACATATCTGCCCTATTGAGTGTGATCCAACTCTTTTTGCCATATTATTATTTCTCAATTCTTAATTTTTTTTTTTTTTTTTCCTTTATGGAAGATTTTGGCCATGAGATCTTGATACTTTCACTTGTTGGGTTAGCAACTGAATCTTTAGCAAGACAGTCTGCTGTTTCATTTCCTGCTATGCCACTGGGGTTTTAACCCAACAAAGAATGAAACAGAGTGACATACTTAAGAAACAAGAAGATTGTGTCGAGATATAAGAAAAATGCATTTAGTTCAGTGACAACATTGGCGGATATAGCTTTCTGTAGAAATTTGTTTAGCGTGGGTTGTCCAATAACGGAAAAAATAAGGTATGCAACATATGCTTAAATTTTTACCTAACAATGTTAAAAGTTTCCAAAATTTTCAATTTATCTGGTTTTCCAGAGTGGTTTCAGTTTCAAATATGTATTGACTTACTAAAATTTGCGAGAGTTTCACATAACAGAAAATATAAATAATCTTTGCATCCCACTAAAGAAATTTATTGCAATTGTTGACATTTTTATTTCACGACACACAATCAAATTCACGTTATGAGTAGGAGGTACGTAACAATTTCTAAGCTTTCTTGAAAAATACATACTTACCAGTTGTATTTTACCTTCATGGTCTTCTATTATCGTAAGACTGGCCACGACAATTTGCAAGACGTATTCCAAAATAAGTATATAAAAGTATATAAGTATATAAAATAATAATTTACTGAGACTTTCTCATTGATACGTACAATTTCATTAACTTAAAAAGGGAAAGAATTGAAAAAGCCTTCTTCAGTGACAACAAGTCTAAAAAACGCATTAGCCACTGTGAATTTTAAATCCCAATAAGCAGACCTTAGCACTTCTGTCTAGTATGCAAATTATACTTACTGAAGAGCACGTGATTATTTTTTAACATTTTGATTGCATCTTCTTCGCAACAAAAAAATTTCCATTAGAAAGCATTGTAATTATTTCATTTTGAATGTCCTTGTTAAGGTACGTAATCAGTCATTCAGATTTTTCTATACTTTCCTTTAGCGTATTATCCATGCCATTAATTAAGATTGCCTCCGAAATTTCTCATTGGTTTTCTTGATGAAAAATTCCTTTCAACCAGAAATACAACAGCAGACAGCAAATACTCTCAAACTAGCTTTTATCTTTTTTCTACTTTTAAAATTTAATCTTTTGTTACTTGGTCAATTAATTTTGAGCTCTGGATTCTCAAAGAGAGCTCTATTTACATGTACACACACTGGCCAATGAATTAGAAACCTTTGAGATTTTCATTTGAATTCATGCTAGGGATGAAGTATGCAACTTTTTTCATGGTTTACATGTGGTTAGAATGCTAGTAAAAGTAAACTAAGAGCGCTTTCTCACGATGAATGAAGTAAAATAGGAAAAACGACAGATCTTTCACCATTTGAAAAAGGGCTTATTGTTGCTGCCTGTTTGCCAAAGGCCTCGATTTCGAAGACAGCAAATTTTACTGGGTTCTCAAAAGCAGTCATATCAAAGGTTTTCAAAAGGTGGAATCAGGACCTACAGTCCTTCTCTAGAAGACGTAACTGTGGTTCGAGGACAGTTTTCTAAGACAGTGATTGACGTTGTTTCTGATGAATCGTACAGCAGAAGAGGGACTCTATTGTGCTTCAAATGACACAGATTATCAACCAAGGCTTCAGCTCGAACCCAACAGACTTCAGCTCGAACCATGCACAGAGAATTGCAGAGGATAGGCATGCATAGTCGGGTGCCTGTGAGAAAAACCACTCATTTCTGTCCAACATGCAAGAATTCGTTTGCAATGGTGTCGGGAAAGAAGACACTGGACATCTGAGGATTGGAAATAGGTAATGTGGTCTGATGAATAATGCTATACTTTATTTTGCACTGATGGAAGACGTCAAATTTGGCAAGAACCCCATGAAGCCATGAATTTATCTTGCTTTACTCGCACAGTGCTAGGGTCTGATGGGAGTACCATGATACGGGGCATGTTCTGCTGGCCCTGGTGTTCGAGAATAAACAAACAGCCATGAGATACCTAGATATACTGGCAGATCAAGTGCACCCTGCAATGTTGCATTTTTACCCTGATGGCGATGAATACTTCATGGACAATAATGCAATTATACATCATGCCAGAAGTGTTCAAAATTGGTTCCTTGAACATCAGTCTACTTCCAACACTTTCCCTGGCCACCGCACAGCATGGACCTTAACCACATAGAAAATGTGTGGGATGTGGTGGAAAGACTCATCTGACAATAATCTCCTCTTCCATCTAATTTACAAGATCTAAAACGCTGTATAGCAAATGCATGGTATTCTCTGGACGTAAATGCACTCAAACATGTAGACTCGATGCCTAAACGAATCGGAGCAAAATCCGTCAAAAGGTGGTCCAATAAAATGTTGATCTTGGGTTTCTAATTCATTGGCCAGTGTGTGTACACCTATATAGTTGCAAGATAGTTCATGGTGAGAGAGTAACTTCGAGAGTCCTTGCCAACCTTTATCAACTTCTTGCAGAAAGTCACAAATGGAATCAGTTTGTAATACAGCCATATGCAGTATCTTTTGAATTGATTATGCACTAAGATAAATTAATTCTTTCAACTGTAATGGCATTTCTTCTGCTTTAGATATGTAAATCTGTTAGAGTTGGTACTTAATAGACTAAATAATTAACAAAAACAGATATATGAAAACTGGAACACCAATCAGAACTTGAACAAGTAACGTGACAGTAAAAATTTCAAAATGAAGTGTTTTTAGAAAAAAAAAAAATTAATATTTTTGCAGTTCTTAAAAAATGTATAGCCAAATAATTAGAATTAAACCTCTAAATGGAAATAAGAAAAATATTTTTATTGCATAAAACAAAACTGTAAGAACTGGGCAACACTTCTATTTACTTAAGACTTTTTGGCAAAAACATATTGAACAAATGATATTTCATTTCATATCTACAATGTGGTTTTAAAGGTAAGATTAACAAAATAACGAAAAGAATAACTTATAATAAAGAGATAACCAAGTTTTCCTGAATAACTTTTCCAAAAATGAGCTAGTTAAAATATGAATCCTTTTCTCTACAAAACATCAGAATATAAAACATTACCCAGTACCTCTACTTTTCTTAAAAACTTGTTTGGATGCAAAAAGTTATACAGAATCAAACATAATTGTATAAATGAAATTATCACTCAAACACAATATAAATTAAAAAGATATGATTTAAATTCGATTGTAATTAGCGATTAAAAGCAGTTACATTTGATTATCAACACAGAAATTTTTTAAAAAAAAACTTTCCTTGATTAATTCTATAATCACACCTGATTCTATGTGAACAAAACTATTCCCCCCCCAAAAAAAATCATTCCTTGGTTAATATAAAATTAGTATACATTACACGATATATATATATGATAAAATTAAAATTTTGAAATATGCATTAACAAACTGATTTTTTTTTTAATCACTCACATATTTACTTAAAAATATAAAATAATCTCTATTTGAATTGCTTACAAAGGGATTAAGCTATTTCACAAATGCACATACACAGCAATTGAATTTTACATTCCAGAAATTGATATATAGTTTGAAATCAATATAACTCACTATTAAACATAACTATGATTTTTCAGAAATAATGTTTTAAAGACTGAATTCAATTTTTAAAATGAAAAATTCGCATTTTGCAACAGCAAAATACTATTAAAGGTCTCAAATGAAAAGAAAAGGGGCATATATTTTAAAATCAAATTTCAAAATTATAGTTTCTTTGCAAACATAAATCACATTTTATAGTTTTCTAGCAGTGGCCCTCATTAAAAAATAAATAAATAAAATTTACAGTAGCAATTAAAAGGTAACAGAAAAACTTTACATAAAAAAAGTATTAATAGATGAAATTTTACGAGAAAAAATACATATACATAAAATTATCATATATATATTTTAAAACTGATTTTTAAAGTTTTAATTAGAAATAATTATATACATATATTTAAAAACCACATTTTGCAGTTGTATATTTTAAAGCAACTCTATGCGAGCAGTATTGCACATTGAAAGGGGGGAAAATACATAAAATAATTAGCTGGAATGAAAGAGAAAAATTTACATAAAAGAATGTAAATAAATTTTTTATATGTACATATATATTATATATAGATCACAATTTATTTTATTTTCGACACTCATATTAACAAATTCATAAATAAATAAATAAATAAATAATTTGTGTTTAGAAATAATCTGTTCAAATATTAAATCAAAAACTGTTTTGGTTATGATAAAAGTTCATAATTTCAAATTATATACACATGAAATTAATAAATATTTGTGGTATACTTTCAACCTTCCAATATTCTGAATGAAAATACAAATTATAACAGAATTTGCTTTCATTTGCATGACATATTTAAATTCATATTTGTCACTTAAAAACAACTAAAAAAGTCACTTTACAGAATCTTAAGAATTTTTTTACAGATACATAAACTTATGTTAAGCGTGAACTGTTTGATCATAATCTTATTTACAATATCAACAAGAACAAAATTACAATTACAAAATACTGTATTTTACAGCATTTAGTGTTTACACACTATCATAATCACAGGCAATCATTATATATAATCAACTTATCGCAAACGGCTCAATATATTCATAACCACAGATTAAAAAATAAATTATCAAATTACATTAAAAATTAAATATATCCGTCTGCAATAGAACTAAAAATTAGCATGGCGGCTTTTGAGGTCAGTACAAATTGGAAAAGATCTATGATATTATGATCATAAAAATATATATAATGATCAATTAAGATAAACATAGTTTCAAAGAATAATAAGAAAATTCCTAACTGAAAAATCAAAATATATATTGAAAACAATTCTATTAATGTAACTTGAGCGGTTTCATAACTAAGCTTATAATTCAATCCATTATAATCAATGAATGACGGCAATATCATTAATACCTAACACATCATTTTGAATAAATCCATTTACAAGTCAATCATTCTTTCATCCTTAGAAGCTTGGGCTAAATCATCAATTACATAACACCCAATTAAATAACATGCTAAGCTTATCACATCATTCATACAGTCTCTCTCTCTCTCTCTACATATATATATATATTAAAAATAATAATAAAAAAAGATGCAAATAATTTTCCCCAAATATATCTAATATAGACACAATCAAGCAAGTCATAAGGAAATAAAGTTAATTTCTTCTGCCACTTTTAATGAAAAATATATCATATGTGTATGTATGCACATTTATGATTTGGGAAAAGAGGTTACATGTTAGCTGACTGAGAGGCACTTAAATTTTATGCTTTTAAATAAGCAATTACAAAGCTTTTGCACAAGAAATGTTATAATGATGATAAAGTCTTAAATGTGCTAAGAATATAACGAGCATAAAATTTATCATATTTATATAACATAGCAAACTGGATCTGAAAAAAGGGACTTCAAGCAGAAATATATGGTTCTATTACAGTGTACTAGACCGGCAGATAAGTTGACTTTATCAAGAAATGGTATTGGTGATACACTTTTTAACAGACATATAAAGATTTACATGCAAGTGGAGTTCTGTTTTAGCTCTAGAAATGGCAAATTTACAAAAGTAGGTAGAACACATACAGGATGTACTTGGTTAAAGATCCTGAAAATCTTTATAATTATTTTTTAAATCCATTTAAGAAAATTAATCAAAGAGTATAAATAAAATGTAATTCAAAAGAATAAAATATTGCAACAAAGAAGAATCAATGATTGTGAGAAACAGTTTTTCATAATTGAATAATTTTGCTCTCAACAAAAGTATTCAATATTTTTAAACAAAAAAAACTATTGAAATTAACTAATAGCTAGGATCAGTAAATAGGTTACCACACCATAATCACTAACCACAAAAATTTAACCATTTGAGTACAACTCTGAACAATAACCAATCTTGTTATGTAATTTTATTTGTCCACTTGTATTTAAAGTGCTTCAGAAACTAGTAAAAATAAGAAAGAAATTGTGAAATTTTGCTTTTCTACTACATTTACCAGCTTCCTTCCTCACACATTATAATTAGTTCAATATTTCAAAAAACAATTTCCGAAATTAATAACCCAAAATTGATGACAAACCAAATTCATGACAAATGAATTAATAAATTCCCAGAAGCAAAATTTCTTCACCTCTTACAGAGATCTGTTAGCACATGGATCAACGTCTGACAAACATTTCAGGTTTTCTCATTTAGCATTTCAATGTTCATACATTTAGGGAAAACTAAGGAAATAAATATGAAGACTTCTAACCATGAGGAAATGAATGCAAATTTTTCTAGCTAGAAGAGTTCATATCCCATTTTAAGGGGCCAGACACTCACATTATGAGGAAAGGTTCTGTCCTAACTGACTACAGAAGCATAAAATTTTGGATTTTATAAAATTTTTAAGATTTTCATCAAAATAACTGGTTTTGTTAAATAAGATGACAACATATGAAAGAAAAAAATCAATCAACCTTTCACCAGTAAAAAGTTCAGGAATCAGTATTTAGGAATTTTTATGTTAAAATTTAATAGCTGCAAAGGAAATCTTTACTTGTTCATTATAAGTTTTCCATGGAATAATTTAATGAAGCTTGTAGTCAGTCAGTATTTGTTTATAATTCGATTCAACATCAGTTTAAGTTTTGGGCCTAAATTTAAAAAAAAAAAAAAAAACCCTCAAATATGTATGTTTTAAGAGACTAAATTCTGATATATATTTAAACACTTAAATACATAACACAACAATAAAATAATTTATTTAACTGAAGATAAAATTAACAACTGAAAAGATATAACGAATAAAAATTCATGCAAGTTTTCTTAAAGCAAAGAAGCAACTTATATTACCAACTGCTTTATTAAAAAAAGAGAGAGAGAGAGAGCCAAAAAAAAGGGGGGGAACTAAAGATATACTTGAAAAGCAGGAAAACTTGCTTAAATTTTTAATAGATGACATGATTTGGTGTCATATTTGCTGGCTAAAAAATCACTTTTCCTATCAAAGGATATATGAATACTGATACAAAGCAATTACCTATACATATTCTCATCATGAAGGAACATAATTTAATAAAGTAAATAAGATGGTCCATAAAAAGGAACTAAGAGACTGAACTTTCATTTGTTCATAAAAGGAGTAAACTGAATGTGTGAAACCTCAAAGTAATCTGAAATTCATTTTCATGGTTCTCTAAGGTTCTTCAATATATTATAAAAAATGCTTTAAACACTAAGTTGTGTACCAAATGACTAAAAATGACTTTTATATATACACATGAACTAAACTATTTAATGAGATTCATGAATAAATAGAAACTTCATTATATTATTCACATTTTCCCCACTTTACCAACCAGGTAATACATTAACTTCTTTAAATATGACAGCTGCTTCACTTTCTATCAGAACACAAGCTGATTAGTGTTAGTAACTGGATCACAGCAAATCCATCCCATTTTTTAAATGAATTGATTATTTTTTTTACAAATATATGTCTACAATAATATAAGTATGAACAGATCAGGTATATATTCAACAAATACCTTTCTGGGAGATTTCTCCACCATTTCATAAATCAGCTTTCTAGAAACATGGATGAAGTTCAGAATAGGTTGTCAATATGCTAATACGAACATATTTCTTAATGACAGCACCAGTTGATACAAAATAATATTCGGACAATATGCACAGAAATCTGATTATATTTTGGAAGAAATTAAACTCATCTTTAATGGTACGTGTGTACACAATACCATTTCATGTTACACTAAAGCGATATTCTAAATTATCATCAGTAATTAGACTAACAACTTTATTTCCTGCCCACTGCAGTCGAGCCATTCTCAAAGGGTTGTTTTTCACAGCTTCGTTTAAAAGTGGTGTATTGTAAGTTCGGATACAGCGTGTTTGTGCATTGCCTAGTCCAAACAAGCCAGTTGCAGTCTGAAAATATTATAATACTTTAAATATGAATTAAACATAAACTACATTTAAAATATAACACAATGGGATAGAGACATTATAATTTTAATAAAACAATAAAATGCTTCTATATAATTCAAAGACTCTTTTCTAACGATCTTCAATAACTAAACTGCGAAATGTGAACACCATGTCTTGAAATGCGAACGTGAGAACTATCAACCCCAATCATATTTTACAGATGCAAAGTTTCATGAGTGAAACTCGTCTGACATCAATTAAAATAAATGATTAAATTTGATAGTTATTCCCTAAATTACTGTAATCTAACTATGCACATTACATAAAAATAAATAAAGACTAGAACAATGAACTGCACTGTTTTACCAAATTTTAACTACTCATGTTTCAGCTGAGGGTAACTGTATTTAAAAAACCTAAGAATGTGTCTCTGTTACACTGATTTGTTTTAATGTCAGGAAGTTTCAGCAAATGTGAATAAAATGCTGTAACCTATGAAATTATGAGAGTTACACAACACGAAAAATAATCCCCCAAGAGTTTATAGCAAGGTAATTTGTTATTATTTATATTGAAGAAAATGGTCTTTGGATATTGGTACAGTAGGTAGAAACAGCAAAAAACTGCAATATTCAGGCACTCAAGAGTGACAGTCAGCACTATTTGAAGATTTTAAGTGTATATCCTGTTTCTATGAAAGGATGTTGACTTAGTCGGTTAATTCTCGCACACAGTTGGTTTTTATATAGCAGAATTAATTAGAATGCCTGCTGGCATCAATGATATTCATGTGATGAATAATTTAGTTTCTGTACATGAGAAGTTTTTAATTCTCATCCAATTTAAATAAGAGAACTAAAATGGTCCAGTTCCCATACCCTGATATTCTAAACAACCAAAACACAAATTTCAGAAATGTTTTTATCCTCTCCTAACCCTTCACATGCTCTCTCTTGGAACAGATCTTCAACTTCTGTAGTTCAAATGCCAGATGTTTTTAAAAATTTAAATCCACACATCCAATTTCCATGCATTTGCAATGATTTTAAAAATTCCTCTTGAATATTAACTTAATCCTTGAAAATAAGATTGCATAGAAAACCTATCACCAGTAAGAAAATACCAATAAAGTTACTAAGACAGTAAAATGCTTATTAATGAAATTCCAGTTAACCTATATATGCGATTGTTTGAACAGCTGAGTGTCAAGGACAAACAGCAAATCAGAACAGTTTAAAAAGAAGCTCTATTGTTTTAGAGGAGGGGAAAGCGTGTACTATGGCACAAAAGCGCACCTCTCTTACTGTGTAGTTTCATTCCAATTTGGAGTGAAACTACACAGTAACAGAGGTTTGATACAAAAATGGATAATGCATAATGCTGAAACCATAGGTATGGATAATGCTGAAAATGGAACTAATTAGTGCATAAACACAGATGCAGATGATCCTAGATAGCATGTTTAAAACCATGATAAGATCATATCAAAAAGTTCAAGATAAATACAAAAGAGAAATGAAAACTTTTATCACCGTAATGATCCAGTCTCATCAAATAACGATACCAGTTATATGTTTAGAAGCAGCCATGAATAAATTTGTTCTTTGCCTTAAACATTTGCAATATGGCTGCACGTAAATGGACTCCTTTCAAACAATTACAAAATTTCCCATTGATAATTAAAATATAATAATTAACGCCTTTACCTTTTTACAAATTTTGTGCATTTTTAAGGAGTGTAAAACGTTAAGACTATAATTTTAGGAGCAGCCTTCACAGAGCACACTGCTTATTTGAAATAAACTTTACATTATCTGACCAATCACCTATAACTGAGATAATTTTGACAAGTTCATACAGAGATCTACTATATTTCAACCCAATTTTTTTTTTCTTTCTCAAACTACGAAATAGCCATACTAACTGTTAGAGACAATTAATAAAATGAATTACAGTTTATTAGCAAATAAAAGAGTCTCTGAAGTATCCATTCTCATTTCAGACAATGTTTTTTCCATCTTTCTTTGTAAACATGCAGAAGAAAAAATGTAATATGAAGTTTTTTCAATATTTTTAGAATAATGTTCTGCAGCATCAAAACTTCTTACGTGAAAATCTAGAATTACAAACAGAAAATACAATTGTTTGGCTAAACTGAGAGGCATTTAAAGGACTAAGGACTATTTAAAGAAAAGCTCCTATTTATCCTAGCACCTTCTTCAATTGAAAACAATTACAAATACTCAACCCAATAAGACACTTGAGGGGAAAGAGAGCACATACAGATAACTATACTTCACACGTCTCTTTTTTATACATGCACTATAAATGAAGAACCTTAAAATCGGAATATTTTCAGCCAAAACCTATCTAACATTAAGGTCAGGGAGAAAAAAATGTTTTTTTAATTCTCATTATAAAGAAATAATCATGCACACATACATTTACACATCACACACATCATGCACACATACATGCACAATAATTTACATTATTTTATACGGATTGTTTATGTACTCCTGAGTAAAACCGATTTTTCAACATAAACATAAAAAGCTTAATGCGCATTAATACATGAATATGCATTTGAAGTTTGAGAGACACATTCATGAGAAGCTTAACCTGCTTAAATACAAAACTTATCTCGTGTGTGTGTGAATATGGCAAAGCCTCGAGGGCTATCTGCCTAAGATGAGGGATGCTTTCGTGGAGGACTTTCTAAGGGAAACTGGCTCGTATACACGTTACACATGAGGAAAACCACGAAAACGCCCATGCAGCCAGCCCGTTCGCAGGATTCGAACCTCGGACCGAACTACCAGTGTTCAGCGACTTTAACGCTCGGCCGCTGGTGGGCCCAAAAACTTATCTCGATTTAAGATATTTATGAAATTATTAAGCTTTTAAATGAGAATGGTCACATAAGTTTTTGTAATTCTTTCAATAAATATTAAACCATTTAATACAAAAGATAAAATTTAAGCTTGTTATTACATACATAACTCCATATTACTGAAATTTAATGGCATAATATTTAATGACATTAACTGGAGTTAAAAAAAAATGCAATTGAATTACATATAACTGTTGAATAAACTTCAGGAGCATCAATTACATGGAAATGTCAAAACAAACTTACTTGCCAAAAACATAACTTATTTTCTTGGTTTGAATACGATGCTAGAAACTTCCCATCAGGAGAAAACGCACATGCATTTATAGCTGCAGCATGAGCTGAGATTGTCTACAAGATTCATATTCGAAAAAATTGTTAGGAGAATGAAATTTAAAATAATGATTCTGATCCTAAATACATACAATACATGTAATCTGTCAAATGAAAATACATAATTTCAAACATTTACTTGACTTTTAGATGCTCTTAACTCATAAATTGCTAGAGTTCCACTTTTCGCTCCAACAGCTATGCGCCTTGTAGAACTACAGTATGTCACATTGTAGAATCTTTAAAAAAATATATAAAAGGTGTGACAGCCAGAACTTTCTTACATTGTGCAAAATATAATATAATCAATATATAATGTGCAAAATATAATGATATATAATTTTCTTTATACCTGCATATTGCTGGAAATGTTTCTTTTAATCCTCTGGCTTTCAGCTGAGTATGATCCAAACAATGAATCACAATGTCCATAACCTGTTACCATAAAGCAAATTTCTTACTGTGAGTTTCCTATATAAACAACATATACATACACTAAGGAAATCACTTATTTTTCTACCATAATAAGACTCTCTTCTTTAAAAATACATAAAAACGATAGGTTTTCTTGACAACCTTTCTTCTTAATCTTCAGTTTTCATCTTGTTTTATTGCCTATATGCAAGTTTTCATTCACTTTTAGAATATGTATTTTATAAAAAAGTATTTATTCACAAAATATAATTACTGTGTAATTCTTAGACTATCAGACATACGCAATTTAAAAAATGCATACATACCTCTACTAATAAATCTGACACATCTGTCTGCATTTTGTCAATCAAAAGCTCAACAACACGAAGAATTTCAGGTTTGGATCGACTTAAAACTGTCATGCTCATAGAAATATTGAGAGCTTGAGCGTTTTGAGCCAAAGTATTATATCGAGCAACTTCTTTAGCAAGTGTTGTAATAAATGCTGGTGGTCGAGCAAGAGCAATCAATGAAAGAGCATGGCGAGCTGTCCGACATGAATCTGCAGCAGGAGTCAAAGGAAGACCATATGACATACTAAAAAAATACAGAATTTATTAAAATTTACTAACAATGAGTATTTAAACAGCACATGAACAATTTCATATTTAAGCAAACAAATATTAAAATAAACATATGCTTGACATTCACAGATGCTGGAAGTTAATAAAACTGACAAATTACATTACAATTAAAGTTCCACTTATATAATTTACTCAATTTTTAATTGCCAATATAATTGATAAACTAGTATTTTTCCCTACTTTCTTTTTTAAAAAAAGTGCTAACTACTACATTACATACTACTATTTTTAAGTTTAAATCATCAAGAATAAATGCCAAGCTGTGGTTTAAATGCAACTAAATATCTGCTTCATTGTAATAACGCAGAAAAAATCAGTATTTTATATTTTTAACAAAAACAAGTAATATATGACCCTAAGTTACATATTCTCTCTGTCACAGGATGAAAGTACATTACCCTGCAGATAATAGAAACATCAACCATTACATCTGCCATGATGAGAGGTACTAACCAAAGTACCACAAATTTCCAAGAAGAAAGCTTAGTACTTTGAAAAGGCTGATGCTGAATATCACAAATTACAAACGATCATTTCAACACAATGCTGAAAAGACTGATGTTCGTTTTAAGCTCATGTTTCCAGTTTCTTCTACACATATAATGTCCTCCCCCCATAATTCTCTTTTATTTTGCTCTAAGGAAAAAAGGCTAATGGAGGGTGGTCGGAATGATTATTTTCTTTTCGTATTTCAAATTTCATTGTTAACTTTCATCCTGAGATTTGCCGTCACATGTAAACAATGCAAAGCATGTGGTGATAAGCAAAATGGAGAAAGAAGGAGCAACCTGATACAACTTGTTACCACTTTTCTTCTTAATCTTCAGTTTTCATATGGAGGCAAAGACAAGCTGTAGAGAATAATCTGTTTGATACCATTTTGAATACAATTGCCAACAAAACCTCCCAGATCTCAAAAATCAGACTGCATTGTCAAAAGGAGATATAGATTGTTTTCAGTGTATCAGTGAGTACAAGAAAACCACTAAGCACTCACACTAAGTTTTCCTCCATTCATAAGTAACAAAACTTATGAATGGAGGGAAAATATTTAAATTTGAATTTACTTCATACTGCAGCATAAAAAATACTTTCATAAATCCTTAATTTTGAGAAATCTGTTATCTAAAGAAATCTCCATAAATTACAGCAGTATAATAAGAACACTTTTATCAAGTAAAATTAGTATGTAGAGGGAAACATAGTCAGTAGCCTTTTAATAATTTTCTTCTACTAATAAATTTTGGCAGAATTCATTTTCTGGGTATTTCAAATTTTTAACTAAATGGTTACAAATCAAACATACATATTCCACCCAATAAAACAAGATAAATATGTTTGAAAGATTTATGTATCAATAAAGAGAAAAGTCTGGAGTTTTTATACCATCTTTTTCCGAAAATAAGACACTGTCTTACTTTCTTTTTTTGGTCCAAAATAAGCGCTAGGGCTTATTTTCGGGGACAAAAAAAAACTATATTTATATATTTTTAATATTATTTTACATATTTTACACAGAATACAGAAATTTAAATTTATTTAGTTACAGTCATGTCACCTTCTTCTGCAACATCGTCATAAATAAAATTCTGAATTATATTCTGATTTTCTTCCAAATCCATTTCCTTTTGAATCATTGGTCCGAATCTCTCATGTCTTGCGATATAGCTATCGTTAAATGAATACTTCTTGTCTAAGTAGCCTGTTCGTAGTGCATTGGAAACATCACTATCAGTTATTTTGTCGAACAACTTCTTGTGAGCCTGGTTTTACAAAATTACCTCGATGATTTCTCATCATTCTGTTTTCAATATATTCATTGATTTCCATCCGCAAATGATCCTTGAATGGCTTGTTTATTGCAATGTCAAGTGTCTGGAGGTAATCAGTCATTCCTGCCGGAAAAATTATTTGATCAATCTTCCTCTCAGCAAGAAAGTTTTTCATGTCTTTAGCGCTGTGAGTACTGGCTGAATCCCAAACTGGTAAACCTCTATTCTGATCCCTCAACAAACAGTGGTGGCAGCATAAAATCAACCCACTTTCCTTATAACTTCTTGGGTGCACCAGACTTTTTCACTTTCAATGACATAAATTCCTGAAACACGTTGAATCTGGTCTTTTTTTTTGATTTTACCTTTAGTGATTAAAAATGGCGATACTTTCTTGTCATCTAGACAAATCGCTAAAATACAGGTAACATGTGCACTATCGTAACCGGTAGAAGGAACGTAAACCGGTAGAAGGAACACCACAAAGAAGCCTTGTGGTGAACTGTCGTTTGAGCTCCTTGGCGTAGGAATACCGCGGTCTCATCCATAGCAGTCATGTTGGAGAGTTGGTATTTCGAAAAACCGATGCCATCAACAAAAAGCTTAAACGCAAGTGCACGCTTAACAACTTCATTGTCTTCCAGCTTAAACAACGTTGTTGATCTCCTTAGAGACAGTTCATATCGTTAAGGAAGTGTCCAACCAGTGTGACGATGCTTTAAATTCTTCTGTGGATATATCAAATTCAATTGCTGTTTCAAGGGCAAATTTTTGAATATCAGCCCTGCGCACAACCAAAGCCATTGCTCTCCTGCCTGCAATCCATTCCTAGATGCAATCTTCCAACTCAGAAAATAACGGCTGCCAACCTGATCCGACTCTGCGTTTTTTCTCATTTCCTTGGTCCACCAGTTGACACAGATAATTGTAGTCTGCACGCCATTTACAAACCATACGGAGATCCAGCATCTTCTCTTTACAGAATACTACAAGATTTACACCCCTGGAATCTTCCACGATTCCCGTTTTGTACTCGACGGAATAGCTCTTTCGTTTGTTACTACTCATTTTAACTGGGGTTAAAAATTATTCACTTTATATTTTTAAAAAAAATTACGTATGAGGAAATAATCAGACTTACAAGACTGAAATGAATGAACGTTGTATACCTGCACTGTCGCTCAATGTAGACTGCTGCCTTTTGTTGTATTTTTAACCAGTTCACCGTTAGGAAAATTGCAAACATTTCGTGCCATTTTTCCCATCCAAAAGTAAACTTTTTGTGTCTAAAACTGGGCTCAGAGTATTTCTTTCCCTCTTTCACCACCTGTGAAAGCCTATTTAGAAGTTCTGTTCAAATTAGATTGAAGATCGTACCTGTCACACTGAAGGATGGTGAATAGCGACCCGCTAAGGGGCAACATAAAACGCAAAGACTGGTGTAGTCCTTAGAGCAGATATTTTTCCCTTTGCACCCAACCCCAAATCTATTGCAATCTATTACAATGTAAATCTAATTTTTAATTGTCGAGAAAAAGCTTTATATAAAATAAAAATAAGGGCATTAGCTAGTATTTGAAATGTCCCTGAATTTCGTTTTCTTATTTTCTTGATGGGCTGTAACAAAAGAGAAGAATTGAATCGTTAAGAATTGGAAAAGATAGCACTCAAATCCCTTTGTTTGTTAATAGAAAGGGAGAAAGCTGTTGTGAATCTCATAAGATATTTTGAGGGGGTAGCTATTCGAAGAAAGTGTCCCCATCCTTTACTTTCCTGAAACAGCCCCGCTGTGATCCTAATGCGACACCGCTGAGAAGATAAGTAACCCATCAATCACCCCTTTTGATTTTTGACTCATTCTGTGGGGGTTGGAAAAAGGTGGCCATGTCGTATGTGCCTCAGGGGTTACGGTTCAGCCCAAATTTCACCCCGACGAGAGTCTGCTGATGCTAACGGATGACGATGCCTTTCCTGTGAACGTATCTCTCTCGGGGCAAACGGTCAACTGGTTAAGATAAATGCCAAGAATTAATTTGAAACAAACTGTAGAGGTAAACGATTAATTTCTCAGAATATTTTGTTTCAAACATTTCTCTGAAATACGAGTATTAGGAAAGCTAAACATATTATTACTTAATAAATCAACAGCATTTTTTAACAAATTCTTTTTGTCACATTATTTTAACTATCGATTATTTTCAGGGGATGTCTTATTTTACAAAAGTTCCGAAAATCATGATAGGGCTTATTTTCGGAGGATGTCTTATTTTCCGAAAAAGACGGTATATATTTACAATGGTTCTTTAATGTATTATAAATTCATCTTTAAAATTCAAATATTCCTCATTTAGTTACTTACTTTAATTATTCATCTCTGCACCAGAAATTTGCATGTATTATACACTGGTTATCATAAATTAAGGAAAAATCATGAAAATAGCGATAACTCCCTCAAAAATAAGCCAAACCCTGTAAAATTTGAATATGCTGCCAAGTAAAAGTAGCTGAGTAAAACTCCAATATGCAAATTGGTGGCGCTGCACTCGGAATATGTCATCTGCGAGGAGCATAAAAGTCCATGTTTGAGAGCAAGCCCAACATATTTCACTGTGATAGTGACATCAGAAATCTGAGATAGCTAATTCATAACAATGATCTCCAGGCATCATTTGCCTGCAGAACTACGACAGAAAGTCAGACTAGAGGCAGGACAAAGTCAAACAGAAGTGGCCAGATGGCTAAATGCGAGTCCTTGTGTGGTTCATAGACTTTGGAGGCTATTTCAAATCACAGATTCGGCACCTGTGAGGTTCAGCCAAGGACGGCCAACTGCTACGACGAGCGCTGATGACCGATATTTGACATTATGTGCACTCAGGAATAGAACTGCTACTCCGACTCTTCTTAGATTTTCCCTTGCTGCAGCCACCTGAAGGTTGGTGTCTACGTCAACTGTGCATAGAAGGCTTCATGAAGGTGGTCTGTATACGAGGCGATCAGCCATTTGTGTGCCTTTCACATCACGCCATAGGAGGGAGTGTTTGCAGTGGGCACAACATGTCCACTGGATGCTTAATCAATGGAGGGCTGTTCTCTTTATGAATGAGTCGAGGTTTAGTGCAGAAAGCAATAGTAAGTGTTATTTGATATGGACAGAACCTGGAACCTGTTATCATCCGACAAACATTCTTGAAAGAGATGCATTCGGAAGAGGCAGTGTTTGTGTTTGGGGTGGCATCTTTTTGGGTAGACGCACAGCCCTCTATGTCTTTCCAAGGGAAACCGTGGATGCTCAGGTTTATACAGATGACATCCTTGATGTTTATGTGTTCCCAATATGCCGGGGCAATAGGTGATGCTTTCCTGTTATAGGACAACAACACAAAACCACACAGGGCTCACATTGTAGATGATTATCTTCAACAGGAAACAATTATGCGCATAGAGTGGCCAGCTCGATCCCTGGACTTGAATCCTATCGAGCACATTTGGGATGCTTTAGGGAGACGTCTAGCTGTTCTCATCCGCTCCCTTAGACCCCTGTCGTGCTTGCAATTGCTTTGCAAGAGCAATGGCTCTTGCTTCCTATGGAACTGATAGACCGCATAATTGAAAGCATTACACATCGCTGAATGTGCTGTATTGCGTCTAGAGGCGATTATATTCCATATTGAAGGTAGTTTTACTATAGCAAACTGACATCTTCGATTTGTTCATTTTATACATGTGCTAATTTCTATACTACCATGATTGTCTGGTAATTTCTTTTTGTGTTATTTGATACCTTACTATGTGTTGTATATTGTGGGTTAGTTTCCTAAAATTCTACATGTAACATTTTCAGTAATCGTGATTTTTGTGATTTTTCCTTAATTTATGATAACCAGTGTACATTATATGATGGATACAAAATGTAAACTTCACCATTAAGTAATTAGCAAAATAGTTTTAATGAATTGCCAAAAAAGGCTGCAAAAAAATTAGCTTACAGGCTGACTATTGCCCATAGCACATTAAAAGAAAACATTTTTAGGAATCTCTCCTTTTCCTCAAAAACTATATTAGCATATTATATTAATAAAAGAAAATCTATCCAAAAAAAAAATTAATTCCAGATTTTGCTTAAGTGTATAAGGTACTTCTCCTGCCTTCTTGGCACATCTTCGTGGTGTTGTGGTCTGCACATTGGGCGTGTATTCCAGAGGTCCATGGTTGCTTATTTTTCATCTTGCCTGCTTCCAAAAATACCTAATGTCTCTACAGTGGTACCCGAACTAAAAGGGTGTTGGATGATGATTCTCCACATCCAGGATTTGGCAGTTGGGTCCCCTAAAACCCCAGTCGCCTTTTAAAAGGGAGAGTATATAAGGTATTTCTCCTGCCTTCTTGGTGTGGTTGTCTGCATGCTGGGCGCGTACTCCAGAGGTTTGTGGTTTGATTCCCGCAGAAAACGTTGCATATTTTTCATCTTGCCTGCTTCCAAAAATACCTAATATTTCTAAAAGCACACCTTAATTACTTCATAACTTACAGGTTGCTTTCCAGCCATCTTTAATACTGAACATATTTCAAAGCATATCTCCAATGCGCAGACATCATAGGATGAAACAACAAAATAAGTCTTACCTCGGCACAAGTTTATCAGAATCGCAACATAGTTCCAATAATCCAAGTAAAATTTTGGATACATCCAAGTAAGGCTGCCAAACTGTAAACCCTCTTCCAATCAAATCTATCGCAGCTCTTCTGAGTGCTGTGTGAGAAGGAAACGATGGAGATGGTGGAACCAACAATAAAAATGCAAGAGCTTGACCTTAAAAAATGGAGCTTATATGCATCACCTTTACACAATATTATTAATATTTAGAAAGACATTGCACATATTTTTTAACTATTGCAGACGGTACATACTAGTATGCCTTGCAAGTGAGTAATTTGACAGCCCAAAGCCATCAACTACACTTCTTCTTTTTTGATCATCGGGCGTCTTTTTCTTGCTTGTTTCAATTTCATGACCATATTCAGCACCAATAACTCCCAAAAGAACGATAGCAGTAGTCTGCTTCCTTTTCCCTTCAGTAGCACTAGATGGCCTTCTACAACTAGCTTCTAAAAACAGAATGTTAATACATATTATGCAATAGTAAGAATTTCTTTCAATTATGCTTTATCTCTAGATATGATAAAAGGAAGAGTCTGTCTCTATCTTTCGCTCATGCTGCATGTAAGCTGATAGACCTAGGGCTACGAAATTTGGTACATAAGTGCATCTAGACAAAAGCCAGTGCATATTAAAGCAATTTTTTTCAAAATTCATATGATTTTTTTAAATGCTTTTTGATGAAATTGTATGAAATCGATAATTCTCTCTCATTATATCAGCAACAATGGCATTGCCATTGTTGCTGATAGCAGCACTGTTGCCACACAGAAAAAGGAGGGCAATAATTCTGTGCAGTTTTTAAATTTAATGTTTCTCTTGGATACTGGACATTTGTTGAGAAAGGGCAAGGAAAAGTTGGTTAATTTAGTTATTATGATAATTAATATTTGTATTAAGGGATATTACTTATTTCATTACAATTTTTTTATATGTACTACATTTTTATTGAAATTTGCGGGGTTTTTTTATTTTATAAAGCTGTTCTGCTGAGTGAAATTCTGTTGCAGTTTTTAAATTTAATGTTTGGTGTTCCCTTTAGACATTTTTCCGGTACATTTAAAAGACAGACAAAAGCTGGCCATGTGGCAGATAGTGATAAATAATCCATACAGGCATACTTTCATTATTTTGCAAATATAATAATTTTACTAATTTATGTTTCATGTACACTATTATGTTCTGGGAGAACGGCAACTATTGTTGCAAAAGATAAGAATAGTCTGGGCTGTATATAAAACTCATTGAATAACTACTTTTCATTTGAGTTACATAACTAATTAATTAATTAATTTTTGTTAGCACTTATGCAAGACAGAAACATCAAACAATAATCAAGCTTCATGTATTACAACCAGTAACATCGAGCAATTTTGTTTCAGAAAACTAAGTAAACTAACTCTTTGCTTAATGTATTAAATGGTTTCTTTGCAAGTTTATTCAAAGGACATAGAAGAGACTCTTATACCAAAATTTCAAGGAAAATTCTGAATTAAATCTACTCTTGAAAGAAAATAATTAATAAATGTTCTAGATGTAAACCCACTTTAAAATATAAAGAACATTCAGAAACAGAAAAGAAATGATACTCAAATTAAATGCATATGGATGTACCACCTGTTTAGAGGGTAATACATTAGAGATTTTATCACTTACATACACGATAGGCAAGATAAAGTGGATAGGTTAGATGCAAAGATTAAGATACTATATGTGAGGACAGTGCATGGTAGATGACAAGATTTGAAAAAAAGAAAACCGCTCAGATAAGAAATGATGCATCAACACTGTAAAAACATAAAAATTGGCAAGAATAAGGGTACAAAAATTATTACAGTAAGCTAGAAATTTACGACTTCAAGCAATGAAGAATTTATTTATTTTCTGATTAAGAAATTTCCATCAAACTGCAATTTCAAAGTATGCAGTTCACTACTTTGGATAAAATAAGTTATTCAAGAAGGGTACATTGTCACAAAAGATAAGTGAACTATGTGAGAAAAAGAAATTCCAAAACTTGCAATACATATCATAAAAAAAATAGTTAAACAAAAGGAAAACATATTGATAAAAGCATATACTTTCTAAATCTGGACATATAGCTTAAAGAAAGTTGCATATTCTAACAGATAAAAGAATGGAAGAAATAATCAAGGACATAAAAATCTAACATTCCGTAACATTTCATAATTAATTATGCCAACATCAAATAGTTAAAATAGCAGATAACAAAGAAGTATTTGAACCATCTACATTAAGATATAGAAATACACTTCATATTTAAGTTTTATGCCCTAGCATCCAACAAAAACATGATTATAAATTCACTAGATTATTCATCCATTTACATCAGAATATATGGAATACACTAAAATTAGAAGAAATGAAATTATAATAGTCAAAGAAATTTTATATGATATAAAATTGTCTGGAAATCTCATGTCTGTTAATAAATTCATCAAGGATTTGATGAAAATGGATAGCCTATAAAAAGAAGGAAGGCTAACTTTTAATAGATCACAAAGTAAAAAAAAAAAAAAAAATTACACCCTAGCTAATTATTTATGATGAAATAATTTCGGAAATTAAAACAAAAGCATCATTCAGGAATAAGTGGCATAAATAAGGATATTTAGGAGTGTATGATACCTGTGAATAAAAATAATGCAGGACAGAAATTGCATGGCAAAACAGCTAAATTAAACTCACAGGAAACTTACATACAAGGCATTCCAGAAAGCCTTGTAAAGAAGTATTAAATTTTCAAATAGCACACTGATTACAGCCAATCCATACTGATCTGATATGGCAAACTAATGAATATTCATTCAATGGGTGAAATGCTTTCACAAAAGTGGGCGAATACTCCAGAAAACTGCTTGTAAAATTCTTGCAAAGGGCTCATACATATGAAGTTATGAGACACATTTATTGAAATACATGAAAATGAAAAGAGTAAACAAATTAAGCAGGTAACATTAGAATAATAGGAAAGGATTCAAAAAATATGAAGTGAGTCAATAGTCTACAGGGGAAAAAAATACAAAACTAGCTAACTACAACACATACTTCTCAATAAAATGAAACTGAACAACAACAGCAGATGTTTGACTGAAGGAATAAGAATTTTACCTTATCAAATTAAAACTTCTCATGAGATACTGGTTAGAAGTCTTGGTTGACCGATTTAAAAAGGCAAGTAATGAAAGAGCTATTTGTCAATGGAGGGGTGTTTTGTGGTGGGTGTTTTTTACAAGTAACTGCTATCTCATGTTCCCATTATGCATATGAAAGAACATGAAAATGACATGCAGCCAGTCGGTTTATGGGAACCAGCCATAGGATTAATAAACAATGTTCAGCATCTTTAGTTGGTGTGTAAGTTATGACAATTATTAGACTCTTAGTAAAAAAGATATAACTTATACAAACACAAAAGCATTTTGATGCCTTGTAAACTACACTATTCAAACCAAGAAACTTAACCTAAACATATAGCACTAACTTATACGAACATAAAGTGTCTGGATGCCTTGTAAACTATAGTATTCAAAACAAGAAACTTAACCTGTCTCAAAAAGAGAGATATTAGCAAAGTAACTGAATAACAGAAAAACATGCACAAGTACTGATCCTAATGAAGAAATCTCTCAAAAGGAGAGATATTAACAGGATAGCTGAATAACAGAAAAACATGCAGAAGTACTTATCCTAACGAACAGAAATATCTGAAAGATATTCCAATAATAAATGCCTACAGAATTCTTGATTATACTGAAGAAACCTGTGTCATGTCAAATCTCAGGAAAACAGATCCCAAAGCAACATAGTTCAGATTAAATGTGGAAAATATAATAAATTTATTTTAAGGTTACCCAAATTTTACAGCAAAATGATGAATGCAAAATTGCATTAAAATTATCCAATAATTTTTTTAACAGAAAAGTCTTTTATAATGAAAGCAAAAGAAAAAATTCCAAAGTTATAAATAGTGAAGATCCAAAAACACAGACAGACCATCAATACAGAACTTTGTTCTCTATAAAATCACAAGGCTATTGTTAGAAAATTTATCAAGTCAGACTGATTGGTTTTGAACATTCTTGACGAAATGTAAAATACTCTATGGTACAAGAAGTGCATTTCTGTATCATTAAATTAAAGAAAACAATCTATACAAAAAAACCAGATGGATAGCAATGAAGCACAAAAAGAAAGAAACTGTTCATATAAGCTGTCTCTGGATTAAAAGATGATGCTAAAGCAAGGTGTAAAACTTTTAGTAGTTATCTTGCAGAAAAAGCTTCAGCAATCTCAAATCTGAAAAATACTTATTTAGTTATGAGGACAAAAAATAATAAATTCATTAGAGTAGTATACAGGATGTAGAATCATTATTAAATTTAGAACAGCAATTAAATTTTACATGTTGCAAGTAAAAGGTTAAAAAGACATTTCAATGCTGAAGAAAATATGAGTACTTTTAATGAAACAGGAACAGTTATAATTGAAGAAAAATGACAATAAATCTGGCACAAAAGATTGCAAACTTACTTCTGCACCTTTACATGCTAGTAGAGATACTGAAAACTTTCACAGTTCAAAACAAGTTGGTCAATGTGGTTAAGTGCTAAAATGTCAAGGACAAAAATATTATGGCCATAACATGACAAGCCGAAACAGCACAACCATAATGTCACAGCTCCAAAATGATGTGTGGACAAAATATTACATACCGTTAAATGAAGTTTAGTCAAATTGTCCCATGACTTAAACTAAATAGTTTGTAAAATGTGAGTCTCCAGAGAATTTTAGGTTGCTCACAAAATGTTTTGAATTTTTCCCTTTATTAATTTATCTATAAATATTAAGCTGTTGTAAATAATACTACATATACACATACTTTTAAAATCAAAATTATGCAAAATATTTTTTGGTATAAAACAAAGCAAAAGCAATCTTGTGCACATAACTCTTTATTGCTATTTGAATATTAAATTATTTTATTTTAGTTTTCCCCCTGCCAATTTACACCCACTAAGAGTATGAACACAGCAATAAATTACAACATCATGCTAGCACCAGCAATTACAACAGCAAAAAAATTTTAATGCTAGATTTTGAAGCACCCACAATTAATGCATTTTGTGCCAAATTCACAGCAGAAATCCACAGAGTATTCCTCCCCCTTCATTTTTCACAAGGCAAATGCAGAAAACAACTAGTAGAAAGATTGCAAAATACATTCATTGCATTAGTTTACATTTTCAGCATGCAATGTACAAAATTCATGTTAATCTTTCTCAGTTGTTAAAAATACTTGCAAACATACTAGTTCTAAAATAAAGAATTAAATTATACTTGAAAGTTTGTGTAATTTAACCTTTCAAAGGAAAATATTCCCAATTGGGAATACCAAATTGAAAATTCATTTGAAAATCAAATTTCATTCATACTGACTCAGATGAATTGTAATTTATAAATGAAGGATGGTTCCATTTTCTAATATAGAAACAGGCTTCGGATATAAAATGAGCAGGGTACACAAATTCAGCCTTCCCTCCCCCCCTATTTTTCATAGTGCAGAACTTAAAAATTCATATAAAATTGAAAAACAATCCATTATTTCTAAAAATCAACAGACATAATTAAAAAAATTTTGTTTATGAAAATAACAAGATATAATAATACAGTCAAAAGTCGTTGATCCAGACACCCATAATCCGAAAAGATCTATAATCTGGGCCTCAAAGCTACAAACTTTCTGCGCATGTGCCAACGCATAATGCGTTCACACATGCGCATAGGCGTTTACGCATGCGTGTAATACTTTTACGTGCATGCGCATATGCGTGTGCACATAGTACGTTTACGCATGCGCGTTTAATGTATAACGGACGGTATAAGCTAAGCTAAAATTATCTAATTATCCATTTCAGTTAATGTTGCAGACTGCGTTGTTCCTTAATCTTCGAATTGGATCCGGCTTATTATTTTTTGCAGACTGTTAGAGCAATTTTATAAAAGTAAGCTTGAACTTTTGATTATGTCAAATAGAATTTCCGATGCTGGAGCTACCCAAGGATCTACAAAGCGAAAGTATGTTTCGATGTCCATCAAACAAAAAATGGAATTGCTGCAAAAAATGGATAAAGGCATATTCTTTGTTTCTCTAACCATTCCGAAATCTGTTTATCGATTTCACGCTGATGTGCGAGGGGGGGCGGAACGTCGCGGCGGGCAATGACTTGGAAGTTCATCTGTCAGCACTATCCTTATCTTCAGGGCAGATGTTTTTATTTTATTTGGCTTATAATTCCTTACTAAATGTAGTATTTCATCTCGATGTACTCCGTCTTTGATATGATTTAAATCAAATTCCTCATCATTATAATTTGCTTCCGATAGTGAAGAAAGTGACACAGAGGTTATTGAAAACGAAAAAATTTCAATTGACAAATTATTCGGTATTCTCGACAGAGCAATTATAGGACTTGAACAACGGAGCTTTGTAACTGAACAAGAAATTATGTCTGTTTATAGAGTTAAAGAGAAAGTATTATCACATAAAACAAAGCAACTTAAACAACTTACATTGAAAGAAATGTTTCATAAAGTAAATAAATAAATATTATTAAGCTTTTTTTTTTTTTTTTTTTTTTTGTAAATTTTGATACCCTTTAGATCATAATTGTTCTTTATTTCATAAATTACAGTTTCATATTTTAAATTTTATAATTTCCGCATGCCATTTTACCAGATTTAAACGGATGATCTATAATCTGGAATAATCGATAATTCGGAATCGCCAAAGTCCCGACAAGTCCGGATTAAAGACTTTTGACTGTGTTCAAAAGAATTGCATTTGCTATAATTCATTAAACAAACATTCCCAACTAGGAACATTGGCCAGCACCCACTGTTTTGCGAAAAATAAAATTCCCCTTAAACGTTTCTTAGATATCTTGGAAAGGAAAAAACCTTTGTTCACCTTTGTTCACTTGTTATACAAAAAGGTGTAATCTCAGCACTAGGCATTTGGTACTACTTCGCACAGCATGCTTTGGTACTAGGATTATTAACAAAATTTTGTCAATTGTTTGTAACCCTCTTCAAGTAAAAACATTTTTCGATTTACTTCTTATAATTTGATGATGGACATTACAAATAAAAACATAAAAGCTAAAGAAACTTTTATGATACTGCCCACTCATGTTTTCTAGAGATGAGGGGAGAAAAGGTAAATTTGATCACCAATGCGACAGATCGGTATTTATGCACAGTTAGAACGATAATTCTGTATGGGTTGTTTCTTTAAATTATTCCTCTCATCTTCCAATTCAGTTAAATAATAAGGAAGAAAGGTGATATATGACAATCAAATTTGATTCATAAACATAATTCTGCAATGATCGGAGCTGACCTATTAGATATAATGTGAGCGGCTACTATCTAGCAGTAACTTGCAGGAAAATATTCAGCTCACTCACCTAGAGTTCCATCGAGAAGTTACAATTGCTCTTTTATGAATAGCAACACGAAAGAACAGACCTCAACCAAGATCACAATTTCACCATTGCATACCACAGCAAAAATGAGAGCAAAGTTTACATTTGAACTGGTTTCCAATGTATCATGGAACACATATGCAGTTTTTATGCAAAAAAATTTGATATTTTCCGTGAAAATTTATAAATGTTTAGCTAAATTCATATCTATGCTTAAATTTACAAATAAATCCTTCATAATTTCCTTCTATTTTGCTTACATTTAGTCTACTTATCACTATGTTTCATTTTTAGGACCAGCATAATGAGCTTGGTCAGAAGTGGCCAATGCTCCCAATTAGGAACATCATAAAAATCATATACAAAAATTTTTTTTCCCTATTTTAAACCATTAATGACTGATGTTGTGTTTTCACATTAGTATAATATTTTTTCATCTTCTTTGTAGTATTTTCTTCAACTTTTTTGTATATTGTAGATAAAACTTCATTCTTTCTGGCCAAAAAGAACTTTCTCACATATTAATTTTTTAAAAAATAACAAATGATTGCTTTGGCACCTTTTTGTGAAAGCTTCTCTTTTAAGTAGATCTCATTGAAATCTTGAATTGAACCAATTAAATAAGTGTATGAAGACATGACAATCTTCTTCAAACATTAGACTTTATAAACGTATCAAAAGGTAAGGTTATTATTATATTTAGTTTGGGTATAAAAATATGCATGTTTTAAAATGTGAAAACACAACGCCAGTTAAAAGCAGTGTCTTTGTGAGTACAGACAGATTTTCATAGATGGTTATACAGCCTTTTATAAATTCCGCAAAACAACTGTTCCAAAATAATGAATATCCGAGACAACAGTTTTTAATGGTTATAATTCATGAAGGATTAGATAAAACTGAAAAACTCGCTGAAGATCATCTCTATTTAAATATTTCAAATGCCAGTTCATGACATATCAGTTTTTCCCCCCAGCTCATCTTTCTATAGTTGAGGAAATGATTCCTTATTCTGGCAGAGATTCACGTAAACTTTATTCCAAACAAAATACCGTCCATTTCGAGTACAAAGTTTGGTGTTTTGCGCACATATGAAGAGTAGTTATATCATTTTGATATATATTGAGGAAAATATTCACAGACATTGACTGATCTTAGAGTAGCTGAAGATGTAACACATCTTTCAAATGTGGTGGAAGTTTCTTCAATCATTGCATATATTCTGACATTTTTTTATGTCACACATATTGTTATCGGAATTGAATGCACTGATACTTTATGTGGCTGGAGCAGTTCCTGACTATAGATTAGGAAATCATCTCATTATAGCTATAAAGAAAATGGAAAAAGAACAGCATGGAACACATGACACTGCATTTGATTAAGTTCAGCTAAATGCAACTTCTGATTGTCACTTTAATACAATTTATCAGTCTTCAGCAACCAACACTCAAGAATAACTCTAGAAAAGAAAACCAATCAGCATCCGCACAGTAACCTAAACTTACCGGAAATTACAACAAATATATGGACAGCAAAGACCTTCTGGACAATCTTATTGCGATATACACAGAGTGTAAGTAAAAAGTGAAAATTGATAGTGGCCTATTTTTACGAATTTTATTTATTTTTAAGACACATTTGGAGAGCAAGATGATTTCCACAATTTTTTGTAGTCTTATAAGGTATTTCTCCCACTTCCCTAGCATGCCTTCATGGTGTAATGGCCGGTATTCCAGAGGTCCGTGGTTCGATTCCCAGCGAAGGTGGTTGCATATTTTCATCTTTTCTGCTTCCAATTAACCCAATGACTCTACAAGTAGTGCCCGAACTAAAAGGGTTGTGGATGATGATTGTCCGCACACAGGATTTGGCAACTAGGTCCCCTATAACCCTAGTTGCCCTTTAAAAAGGGGAGTATTATAAGGTATTTCTCCCACTTCCCTAGCGTGCCTTCATGGTGTAATGGTAGCATGCTGGACCGGTATTCTAGAGGTCCGTGGTTCGATTCCCAGCGAAGGCGGTTGCATATTTTTCATCTTTTCTGGTTCCAATTAACCTAATAATGACTCTACAGTCTAAGCTAATTTTCCAAAGATTTCAAAGAGATGTACATCAGTCCTATTTAACCTTCCATCTAAAGTTACTAGGTAGTGACAGAAACTATGTCAAATTTCCCTTTCCATCTCTCCATTCATTTTTTATATTGTCATTGTATGAATAAATGAGCTTTCGGTTTCAATGCATTAACTTCCCAAATTTTCAAAACTGCATTTTGAAAATTTTGAAAGGTTACCAAACAATGCCGTAGTGCTCAATTTCATTAATTTTTATAATTCTTACCTTTCTAAACAAGATTAACAACTACTATTTTTATTATTATATACTTCCAGGTGTATATGCTCAAACACATTTTTTCAGAAAAACGGATGGAATAGCTTCTTTGCAATAAAAACAAACTGGAGTTTAATTACCTACATAGAATCCCTACAGTAAATTATCTGATTTTAAAAAATTGAGAGTAACCTTCTAGGCTATGATCTTCTGTTTCTTCTTCAGAAGAATGGTCTTCCTCTTTTATTTGAGACACTTGTTGATCACTGTTGCTTACAGGTGCAGATGTTGCAGGTGCAGTACTAACAGAAGGTGATGTGGATGGAGGAGCAGGTGAAACATTCTCATTAGTAATGCGCTGTGACTGATTACTACTAGGATTTTTAGGAAAAGGTTCCCCATAATTTGGAAGATAAGGAGCCCATTCTTCAACCAACTGCTTCCGGCCTTTTGGCGATATTCGCCTTAATTCAGCTAAGAGTAGAGCTTGTGCAGCTTCTCGAACCTAACACAATGGAAGTAAAACATTTTAATTCATATTTGTTGTAGATGAATCAAATAAAATTTCAATTACTGAGCTCATGATACAATCTTATCCCTTATAAATTATGTTCAAAACAGAATAACAGAATTACATATTATTTAACGAATGAGTTATTAAATTACTTTATGAGATGTGCTGTTATTAAGAGTTTAAAATGAATTAATTTTACTTGCTTTAAACAACAGAAAAATAAGAAATGACAAACATATCACAAAAACAAGAACATAAAAATGACTACTGGAAGTTACAATTTCCTGCACAGTATAACAAAACAAAATAGTGTAATGCAAAAAATGGACATAGAAAATAGTTTAAGAAATCCTAAAGAATAAACAAATTCCATTATAAATCTTAAAGTTTAGCAAAGAAATTTTAAATAGACACATATATATACATACACAGAAACATAGTTATTTACCTCTAAACAACGATCTTGCCAGCGCCGAGCTAACATTTCCACTTGAGGACATTTGAATTTTGTTGATTTCACTAGTTCTGGCAGAAGAACACAATGGAGGGCAGCCAGTAAGCTCCAACCTTGTTTTATTTGAGCCTGCTGACTGCTAAAAGCTCCTGCTTCAGCAGCCATCATTGCCTGCACATCATCCTTGCTTTTAGCATCTGTACTACCAGGTGTGCCAGGAGATGTTGGCTGAGAATTTGCAGCTTTACTATCAGCACGGCTAAGTCTCCTGAAGAATGTAATAGTAATACATTACTAGTAATGAAAAATATATAAGATTTAAAATCTGAACTCATGAGATCAAAATGAAAGACTACGAAAAATTATTAAACGCTAAGTTATACAGTATACCTTTTAATGACACCTAATACAAATTTAGAAATTTGCATTTATTCATACTGGTCACTTTGCAAGAATATGTATTAAAGATTTTACTTACCAAAATTCATATTTAAAAATGCACACTATAATTTTAGTTCAACTGCTTTAAATATACAGAAAAAGCTGACAGTATCCTTACTTACATATTATATTCATTTCAGATTTAAAAATACAAATTGGTGTTAAGTTTGCAGTTTGAAGCAAGGGGAAAAAAATCTTCTGATTGGGATATAATTTAGTGTGTGATTGTGATATAATCATAATTAATTCATTATTAATGTAAGAGGATATGTGTGCACACCATCTTGCAATATGCCAAATTGAAAAATCCAATGTTCTTTCAATAGTTCTGATTAAAAAAGCACGCCCAATGCTTTCCATGGAAAATTGTAATCCCCTTTCAAAAACAGAGTAATCATTAATATTCAAAAATAGGAACCATGATTTGCTATGCATCTACTTTTCTATTAAGTGTAATTATAAGAGAAGGATGAATAGTGACTCAAAATCACAGACAGCTACTTTTTTACAAATGAAGTGATTTATAATAAAAGGAAAAGAATTTAAATAAAATTATACATTATTATTTATTCTTTAAAAATACAGTAAAGCCTCAGATCATACAGAACTCAGTTCATGAACAAATTATCTGAACAAAAAAATGCTTTGGATGGCAAATATTATCTCCAGTTACAAACACTTTAGCTGGCAACAAATGATTTTCAAAGGTTTTTTGAGGTAGTCTATGCCTCATAATTATCATTCAGGTACCATCACTTTAATAACTTCCATTGCCTAACTCTCATTAACAAAGCCTTGCAATAAGTGACTTGCAGGACCATGATTTTGGACCGGAAGAAATAGCCAGATTATGCTGCAGGCAAAGACTTTGACCACTTCAAAATTTAAGTCCTTTATCTACGATACTGTCTCTTTAGACATAAGCATGGGCTGGAAAGTTAACAATGAAGATGTGAAAAAGCTATTACAGAACCACAAAAATGAGCTCAGAAAGAACTATAACAATTTCACAAACAGCAATTATACATGAAAGATTTTCAAAAGAAGAAAGAAACATGATCCCAGGTCTCTTACACACGAAATTTGTGCAAAGATGCAAAGTTCTCACATAATAATATGATACAACAGCAGCAAGCTGCAGCATAAGCATTTTCAGTGATAATGCCATACATGACATTACATTTTATAGCACAGACCACAAAAAAATAACATTCAACAAATTTTAAGAGAAACAAAGGCTCAGAGTGAGTCTCAAACAGAGTCAAGTGGGACTTAGAGATAAAGAAAAGGTGAGAGAATATGGCCCTTACTGATAGTTATCTGATGTTTTTATGGAAGGAAATTTCATATCTAAACAATACCATATTCCCCATCATTTTCCAACTATGCCACCTTCATACATGCTTCTTAGTACAAGTTCAGCAAAATTAATTTTTTGTCTATTTTACCTGTTTAATACTTTATAACTGGTCATTTATTTTTTATATTTAATAACTTCCATCAGTTTGGGGCTATGAATCTGTGCTTAAATTACTGTTCTCAAGTTTAAATAAGCAACCACCTGTCATCCAAGAATAAATGAATCCCTTTTATGTTAATTCCTATAGGGGAAAATTATTTCAGTTGATGAACAACTTTCAAAAACAAATTAAGTTCATGAACCGAGATTTCAATGTGTATATAACTTCAAAATATCATAAATAAAAATCTGGTACATACGTATTATCGCAACCATCTTGGCACAATCTGGATATTTCTTATAGATGAAAATGTACAATTTACTTAGTATGTTCAAGTTGGTTATTTTTGTGCCTTCTTTTTTAGAAAAATTCCCAAATTATCAATACTTATATTTATGTTTGGTAAATAATACCAACATAGGAAAAGAACAGAGCCGGATTTACATATAAGCTACATAAGCTATAGCTTAGGGCTCCCCAACTATTAAAATATAGTATAAATAGTATTAAAATACATTATAACAGACTTATAAAAGGCCCCATATCTTAAATAGCTTGGGCCTTAAAGAGTCTAAATTTGGTTCTGGAAAAGAAAACATACTTTAGCAATTTAAATTATAAATTTGAATTATTAAACAAGGATTGTCATACATCAAAAAAAAATAAAAAAATAAAACACTTACATTCTTCTTCAAATCTTTTTATAATTTTTTTTTCATTATTCTTCTCCTGGAGTACACAGCAATCTTTTTTCACTTTAAAAAAAATCAGAATTGCGGAGACTCGGCTTTGTGTAATCTTCGGCAACGAAATTTAACCATAGTTTCTTCCATTGCTACTGAATTCCACAAGCTCATATTTTAAAACTAAATTTAAGGCAAAATCACAATTTGTGTATAACAACTATTGGAACTTGCAATACAACAAAATAGAATGCATATGAAAATGATGGCATTACTTGACTGAAACGATTGTTATAAGCATGGTTGCCAGAAAAATGGTTATGTGCATGGTTGCCAGAATTTGGCACTTGCTGAAAATCTGGTTACTTCTATAAAAATGGTTGCAACAGTATGCAAGTACCCAAAATCCTTTTGACTTAAATTGCTTAACAACCAATGAAAAGTAACCTCAAAATAAAACTTAAGCATGATTATTGTTGTAATTAATATGCATTATTTAAATAAAATTCAGTATTTGGTTGGTAAGCCTTTATTTGATGCAACAGCTTTTAATCTGTTCAAGAGAGAACAAACTAATTTTTCATAACTATAAGCAATTTTTGATCATTCTCTTTTGAACACCTTTTCTATATCTTTTGAACTGGATATGACATGACTTTTTTTAATTTTGTTTCCAAATGTGCCCTTAACTTTTCAATTGCATTTAAGTCTGGAGATTGAGGGGGGCACATCTATAATGTGGGCAATCATAAAGACATATTTAAAAGCTTTATGCTTGAGAATTTTGAGCTTATGCTTGATAAAAATGAAAAAAAATTGTTTAGGACCAAATTTTTAGCATCTCTTTCACATCATTCAGTAGTTGTACGTACGTATTTTGATCCATTATGCCATTAAAGATATGAAGAATATGGGGCCCAGCAGCTTGATTCCCATATTAATTTACTACAATGTTTAAGAGATAATTTTTCCCCCTCTATATAATCTTAATTCATTTGGCCTTCTCGGAACATGTTTGTCCATCCAAGATGAAGGATATTAAATTTGTATTCACCCATTAATAAAACTACCCTTTAAAATGAAGACTTTACTTTTACAGAGTTTTGCATATTTCAGTCTTCTCAAATGATAATTTTGCTTATGAAGGGTTTTTTCTGAGCAACTTGCCTATTGAAACTATTTTTTCTTATAATAATTCTTCCTCTTTTCGGGTCTGATCTTTTCCCAAAATGCTCTTCTGCTTTCATAATCAATATGGAAGCACTTAGTTTTGGGTATATTTTTACATCGTGTGATCCAATGTTCTTCAAAATCTGTAAAAGACCTTTGCTTTTTATTTTTGATTCATTTTTGGTTGCATTCCTTCTCTTTAAATCACTTGATTAATTTATGTAAAGTTGAATGACTTAAAGTCACATAATTATATAATTTTAACTATTTATGTAACTATTTTACTAGTTTTGCAATATCTGTTACTTAAAATACTTTATTATACATCCCAATTTCCAAAGACCTTGTTCAGATTGCTTTCCAATTTTAAATCATTAAAACAAAAACTACAAAACAAGGAATAATTAACCTAATATCCCTGATTTGGTTTATTTGAGTATTCGCAACACACTCAAAGGCTATCTGCCTAACAGGATGGATGCACTCATAGAAACTGGCTTGTATACACATTATACATGGAGAAAACTACAAAAATGCACATGCAGCCAACCCATTAGCTGGGATTCGAACTCAAACCAAACTACCACTGTTTAATGACAACAGATTACTCATGGAAATTTTGAAGTTTTTGTATTTCTAATACGAAAAATCACAAAATTATAAGCCGTCTGTCTTAGAGATTAATTTTCACTCTTTTAAAATTTAAACATTTATTTCATGTAGTCCTTTCGCTTATGATAAATAAGTATGTATTTGAACACTGATTCACAATTGCTATTTAACATTTTATTTAAATTATTTCTTCTGTTTAAAACTGCTTTGTGAAATTGTATATGTCCAACATTTACTCTGAACCACTCTACTACACAGTTTTGATTCAAAAATATATCACAATATACCTATGTAATTTTCTTCGCCTTTCTTGCTCTGGAACAAATGTAGCACTATTCATGGACATTAGAGTATTTGCTAAAGCAATAATAGCTAATAAATGAGTTGTTGTGATTGCAGTAGATAGTTCCCAGTGCCCTTTTGATGAAAAAATTCGAGCTCTTTCTTCCTCTTCAACAAGTTCCGGTGGAATAGCTGGAGGTACAAGTCTAACATGTTTCCCTTCCCTAATATGGGGGAAAAAGCATTCATTTTAGATTAACACAGATAAACTAATAATTAAAAAAAAAAAAAAAAAAAAAGTTTACAAATATTTAATTAAGAAAAATACCATTGACAATTTTATTAATTGCTGATAGATCGTTATATCTAAATCATAACAGGGAACAGTTAATTTAAATATTTATACTACATTCCATTTTTTAATATACTAAAATGTATAAATTAATGTTATTAATAAAAAGATAAGGAGTGCAATCACACAAAAATTGATTCATATTTATATTATGCATGGACAAAAGTCACCACAATAGTTACATAAATGTTTCTAGCATCACTTGGACTCTCACTCAGTACTCTGTGCTAAAGGCTCCACATGATGAGACTGTACACCCAAGTACTGTGTTCCACTAACCAACCAATCCATAGGGGCAAAATCCATCGGGGGCATTTCTCATATGGAGTTGCTGCCATATTCCCCTAACCTTAATCCAACTGAAAATCTTTGGGGTGCGGTAGCATGCTTTGCATGCTTACCTCTCCAGCCAATCTCAGACAGTTGGAAACTGCACTGAAGGAGGGATAAATGGCCATTGCTAACATTTGCAATGGCTGACCATGTCACTAAAAGCATGGGAATTGCTGCAAAGGTTGTATGATGGTACAGGGTGGTCACATACCTTATTAATGCAAGGTTTTTTTTTTATTTGTTTGTTAAAACATCAATTCATTAATGACTATAATGTGACATAATTTACAAAAATTAAGTATTTTCATCTTTGTACATAATGCTTCTTTTCTTTCCTGCATAAATTTGCTACACTTATGGGCAATTTGGCATTAATCAAAACTTTGTGTTTTCCTTTTTGTTGGTTTACCATTGTGTGCTTAACTTTTGGAACCTAATGTATAAGCATCAGAATGAAAAAGTACTATTACAAACTAACAGATAAGCAAAATGATTTCACTTTTTAGCCACGAAAATGATACCTTCAGAGCACAAGTAATTCATTAGATGGATTACCTCATTAATTAAGCAAAAGCTTCCAAATTACACAAACATGAACAGATAAAAAAAATCTCCTCGTAATAACATGAAAAAACAATTAACATATTAAGAAAATGAATAAATCAAATTCCATTATAAAATTTCTACTCACATAGTAAATGCTGGTTTGGTGGTAGTATTATTAGGTATAGTATGCAGATAAGTGGGCAATATCAAAGCCATATGTCCACCTCGAGACAGTAACCCAAAACAGACAGGTCTCATAGGGCGCAACAATCCTAATTTACTTTCACATACTCTATCTAACTCAGCATCTAATCCCCATGCATGTAACAATGATAATAATAATTGTGCAATTTCCATGGTCAAATTTGCTTCAGCAAGATTCATTTGACGTTGCTTCTTACTTGGAATTTCAGCACTAGCAGTACTTCCCCCAGAATCCTACAATATAAATTCATAAATGCATGCAAAATGAGGAATATAAATACATTCACAAGCAAAATACATTTCTAGTTAAAATCAGCTGCAACTGAAAACAATAAAAGCATAAATAATGCCCAAAAAAATGTACACTGCGCAAAAAAAGGGGGACACAGTTCTATATCTCTTGTTCTACTTGGCTGAATGATGAAATTCAAATTTCGTTTTTCATGTCTCGAAAGCGCGACGTAAGATATATATTAGATTTATATATGGCATCATTCTAACATAGGTATTTTGACACAAAATTGGACATTTTCTGAAATGTCATGCCAGTTTTGTGTCATTGGACATTTTCTGAAATTTCATGCCAATTTTGTGTCAAAATACCTATATTAGAATGCTATATATAAATCTAATACATATCCTAAGTCGCGCTTTCGAGACATGAAAAACACAATTTGTATTTCGTCAATCGGCCTAGTGGAACAGGAGATGTAAAACTGTCTCCCCCTTTTTTTTACACAGTATACCTGCAGATGGAGGACAAAATAATACGAACACCTGTGAAATAATGGAAAATCTTCATTAACAGGGGGTTGGACCACCCTTTCCCTGAAGTACAGATTGAATGTGATGTGGGATAGATTCATAAAGGTCATGGACAATATTTAAAGGATTATTAAGCCATTTCTCCTGCAGAGCAGTCTCTAATTCTGAAAGTCCGTATGGAGGTGGAAATCGGGGATGAAGTTTGGACTCCAAATATGGCGATAAAGGTTCAATAATATTCAAGTCCGGAGACTGAGGGGGACAAGCGAGATGTTCAATTGCATCATCATGCTCTTCGAACCATTCTTGAATATGCCTAGCAGTGTGGATAGGGGCAATGTCGTCTTGAAAAAGCGTTCACTCCTCCAAGGAATACAGTCTGGACAAAAGGATGGACATGATCCCCTAGAATGCTTAGATAGTGATCCTCCCATGCAGAACAGCAAGTGGCCCAAGACCGCACCAAGATATCACACACCATACCATAATGGCGCCACCCCCTTGCTTCACAGTCAGAAAGAGGCAGTCAGGATGAAACGCTTCTTGGGCGTTCTCGAGACATAAATGCGTACGGTCATCTGAAATAGGGTGAATGACGATTTATCTGACCATATTACTTGTTGCCACTGCTGCGGGAATCAGCCTTTGTGATCTCTGCACCATTCGCGTCGCTTGAAAAGATTGGTTGCTTTCACCAAGGGTTTAGGAATTGCTACTCTGAAATAAATGTTCGCAGCATCAAGTTCCCTTTTGACAGTTTTTGTTGAAATGGGGTCCTTTTTTGTTGAAATGGATCATTTCATTGGGGAACTCTTCATTTTGGATGTTATCTCGGATAACAATTGCTTGTGCTTTAGACCTGTCCATCCCTATCAGCCAGCTTTGACTTTCGGCCACTGTTGTGCTTTGAAGACGTCGTCTTACCCTCTTTTTGTGTATGCTGTCATAACGGCTGATACCGTACTCCTTGCACACTCCAGAAGGTTTGCTGTTTCCATAACCGATGCACCACTTAAATGCGCTCCAACTATCATGCCTCTTTGGAACTCTGACAGGTCTGACATTTCAACTTCTCACAGGCAGTTCGATTAAAGCATGCAACGCAGGTGACTGCTATTGAGAGACTGATACCTTCCTCTTCACGCTCACTAGGTGACAGACTTCTGTTGCAGGTGGCACGGCTGTACTGAAGGTGTGAAATACGTCATACTTTTTCACAGGTGTTCGCATTATTTTGTCCTCCGTCTGTACATTAATTACAAAATGTGTATATATACATAATACATAGAGAGAAGGTGTACATAAAAGAACATCAGAATTTGAAAGTTCTATATCGTATCTACTCACACACACACAGCTTTATACACTGACTACCAATAAGTATTTGGACACCTATGCAAATGACGATATCTGCGGTCCTAAGGTACGTCACGGACTCTGCCGGTATATATCATGTAGGAAACAGCATCCGCTTTAGTCACATGCAAGATGCCTCGCAGTTCGGAGCTCTCTGATTTCGAGAAAGGTATAATTATCAGGTATCACAAATGTGGCCGATCCTTAAGGGACATATCTAGCAATCTGAAGTACCCAAAATCGACAGTGGCCTATGTTATTAAGAAGTGGAAGGTGAGCGGTGATTGTCGGAATGTGCCCCGAGTCGGCAGACCAAAGAAACTGGGAGATAGAGACCGACGAGTGCTGTCCAGAGAAATTCGGAAGAACCGCACCCAACTGATGGCCCTCATCCGCGAGGAGTTTCAACACGCATCCGGGAGTATTGTTTCAATGAAGACCATCCATAAGGAAGCACATCTGCTTGGTTTTCATGGTCGTGCTGCTGCCCATAAGCCTTTGATCACAAAGTCCAACCGTGCTGCTCGGTTAATGTGGTGCAAAGCACATCGAAATTGGACCGTAGATCAGTGGAAATGGGTTCTTTGGAGTGACGAATCAAGGTTCACCCTTTACCGTTCGGATGGCAGGGTCTGGGTCTGGCGTCTACCTGGAGAACGTCTCCTGCCAGAATGCAATGTGCCAACAGTCAAGTTCAGCGGTGGAATTATGGTCTGGGGGTGTTTCTCCCGGTATGGGCTGGGACCCTTGGTCCCCATTCAATGGTAAGCTCAACTCCGATGCTTACTGCACTATTTTGGATGACAATTTTTGGATATTGTTATATATAATATATATATAATATATAATTTTTGGAATACTGCACTATTTTGGATGACAATATTTTGGATGACAATATTTTGGATGACAATACTGCACTATTTTGGATGACTGTTTTGGATGGTTCCTACGTTGTGGCAGTTTTACAGGTTGGACCCCTGTTTCTTTCAGGACGACAATGCCAGTTGTCATGTTTTGACGTTAACCAAGGCTTGGTATGGTGCTAATGGAGTTTATCGAATGGACTGGCCTGCCCAGGGTCCAGACCTGAACCCTATCGAGAACCTCTGGAACAAATTGCATCGCCGAATTCAGGGGTGCACTACCAGTGCAAAATCTGTGAAGGAACTTCTATGTCTTCTCCAAGCCGAGTGGAATAAAATACCACTAGCTGTCATACAAAGACTTGGGGAAAGTATGCCCCGAAGGGTTCATGCTGTAATTACCTCTCGTGGAGGCTCTACCAACTATTGATTTTGAATAAAGTTAGTTTTTCTTTTCTATCACAGATGTCCAAATACTTATTCATAGTCAGTGCATAGCAAGGTTCTAAAATTTTTTTAAATATTCATTTAATCGTCTTCTTCCTCAAGACATTCAAAAAGTGAACTTCCCTAAATTTTAAAATGAAATCGTCCAATCATATGCACCTTCATCTACTGAGGAGTATATTCAGGATCTCCAGCCATGGTTTGAAGTGATGCACAATTTTGCATGGCAGCAAGCAAGTCAAGTGGGCAACAGAGAAGATGAAGACTCAAAATGACACAAGAGCTACAAGACACAAATTCAATGAAGGTGACAAGTTGTTACAGAATCTGATTCAATGGAAGGAACTTTCTCCTACACTTACAGTCACCCTAGGGGCTATTGGCGAGATATCACGCCAAGCTGGTGATGATTTTGGCAATTAATTTTGCCATCAAACTTGACTAGAAATCACCAAAGTCACCATACTTCATGACATTTTGGTACAATCCCTCTGTGATTGTAACTGGTCCAATCTCTAAATTACTGAAATTGCATCCGGTTGTATGTAACTGTAACTCTGTATGCCTTCCAGCAATTTTTAAGAAATTGAAGACACTAAAAATTTCTCAGAGGTCGAGGGAAAACTATATAAAATCAGAGAGAGCATCAGTTTAGTTTTAGTTCAGGGTTTAGCTCAGAGCAGTGAGAGATCACTGTGTGAGCTTACGTATTTGAGGTTTATTTTTATATTGTCTTGTGTTTAACATTATTAATAGTTTGACATAGTAACCACTATTGTTACCTGTCATACTGAGAACTGTATGAATACTTCTGCGAAAAGTTCCAGAACTATAAAGCGTTTCTTTTGGGAAAATAAGTTTCATCAAGCTATCATTAGTTCTGTGTGCATTCAATTCCTTACAAAACCATAGGCATATAATAATACAAACAACAAAGGCAAGCATTTGCTCCTGCATCCATATGAATTTCTTACAACTCCTATACATACAAAACTTCTACATGTATGACTATCTGTTGTGTATATATGTGTACACATCGAGCCTTTAAAAGTTCTTACAAAGCCTTTATTTTCTCAACTGTTGGTGTAGACACATAATCCCACTAACAGAAAGGTTTTAAATGATGCAAATATTCCTGTTTGGACATTTTAAATTTAAAAAAGAAATGAGTTTGTAAAAATTACAAAATCTACCATTTTCAGGGCCCTATGGTCCCTATACATATATTCAGGAAGCATTTTCATTCATTTTAAGAAATAAAGTACAAAATTTATGACTCTGATTCAAGAAAGTTTGACTAAGATATTTCATTTTAAAATTTCAGACCATATTCAGGGGCCATACCCACACTGCAGAGCAAAAGGTTGGCTTTTATAGATAATTAAGAATGTCAGCTTAGAAAAAAGGTTTCTTAAGTTAATAGATTAAGTGATGAGCATTCCTATGCAGATTATATATGCAGACTCTGTCATGAAAATTATAGATCAATATAAAGCTTCTCAAAAACGATCTCTGAGATCTTATTCACAGAACTTCACAGAATTTGTATTGTAAAATAGAGATTTCCAAACTTTTTATCACATACCCCTAAGATGAAAATAATTATAATTTGTACCCCTTATAATATAACTAAATTATATGCACTTTTGTTATATATTATAATATAATATGCACTTTAAAACCGGTGCATTTATGATGTTGAGTTCCAAAAATGTTAGTTAAACCACACACACAGTAACCAATGAAAGAACTTCACACTCGCAAGTGACCGAGATCCTAATTCTTTGGTAAGCATATTTTTAGCACTTGGAAACTTAGGAATTAATTTCTGCATACCAAATACAATATATTATAAACCAAAGAGTGTTGCACACTAGTAAATCACAAAGGAATATCATTGAATGACATTCAATGGGAAATTCAAACTTCAATTATTCTAATTTACTAACCATCCTCTCAAAGCAAGTGAAAAATAATGGTAAATATCTTGAAAGTTAAATTAAATATTTCAGTAAATTTTTGTTGTATGCAAGTCAATTTTTTTTCATTTATTAAATTTTATAATGTGTATACAATTTTTGTAAATATAAGCATAAAGACATGGTGGTGTGAAAGTTAAGATTTTGTAATTTCTATAAAATTAATGCTTTTAAATTTTAAATGCCAAAATATGTAGTTGCATAACTTAAAGCATTTTTTATAACTAGAAGATATGGCTATGACTACTGGTTGCCGAAATAAAGACCAGATAAATACTTTTGTGGACATATGTGTATAGCTAAAATAGCAAAGCAAAAAGGCTCATAAAGCAACTTTTTTAATCCTCATTAATTAATAGCAATCCTAAAAGTAAATAACAAAAAAGAAAAATTAAAAAATGGAGCAATAATTCTTTAAAAAGTATGCTTGAATTATTATTGTAATCTGAATTGTTGTCATGTTAATTACTTTTTAATAGCTAAAAAATACATGTTAGAAGATCAATTACAAAATAACTAAAGTGTTACATTATTATGAATCAATAAGGGTATAAATTTTGAATAAAAATGTTGAAACAGGAATAATAAAATAGAATAAAAAAGGCCAAAAATTAAATATACATGATTAGTAGAAACATAAGTAAATAAGCACAACTACTAAAATACAACCATACATGCAGTGCTTTAAAAAAAAAAAGAGACCAAACTGTTATTTCTTAAAATGTAAAAATGTACCATAAATTATCTGAAAGATGAGGGGGGAACATTTGCTGTGTCAGATATACTTACTACGTGTATCGTAAGTCCTGCAGTTTAAAATGCTAATCAATTTCAGCACTGCTACAGTTATGAAATGCACTACAGCAATAATTTTTTTCTAAAATTTATCATAAGAGGGCAGACCTGCAGATATGGAAAGCCAAAAGTACAACATGCAATCACCTTGTGTGCTTCAAATGACTCAACAGTGAGAATAAGTTTTGTTTTGATAACACTGTTATAATGAAAATAATGAATACAGGAACATAAATCTTTAATGTATCAAGTTATGACCTATCAAGTTATGACTGTCACACCTGTGTATGGCAGGAAATAGAACTGTATAATCTTGCAGGCAAAATCTTTTTTTTTTTTTTTTTTTTTTTCTTTTTGAAACACACTATTTGTATTTTAAAACCACAGAGATGATGTTATTACAGGCGTACAAGCTCGTAATAGATTGAATGCACACAGAACCGATTGTAGCCTGATAAAATTTATTTCACAAAAAGGAACACTTTATAGTGCTAGAACTTTTTACAAGACTCGTACAGCTCTTCTCAGTATCACAAAGCACAATCGGTAGTTACCACTTCAGACTACTAAGAACATTAAACACAATGCAATGCACATCTAAACAGGCATAGCTACTATGGAGATCTCTCATTACTCCGAACTCACACTGAACTAAACAACTTCAAAACTGATGCTCTCTCCAGTCTTATATAGTTTTTTCCTGGCCAGAGAAATCTCTGATACTTTCCACATCTTGAGATTACTGGAAATCATATGAGATCAGGATATAGTTACAGTTACATACAGATCAATTACAATTATTCAACCATATTATCACAGTTACGCATGGACATGACCATCGTGTTACCAAGTTTGGTGACTTTTGATGATTTCTCGCAAAATTTGGCAATAACAATTAGTCGTCAAAACCATCACCAGATTGGAGATATCCCGCCAATTTAGTAAGATAACAATTTACTCACTGTTAAATAGACTTGCCCCTGTATTCTTACTTTTCTGGTAAAGATTAACTTCGTTAGATTTTCATGTTACATTATGCATGAAAAAAATACTACCATTTCACTAAAATGATTCCCATATATGCCAAAGTCAAAAATATTCAGGATCTGTAATACAGGTCTTTATTCAGGTCCAATAAGCAAAACCTTATTTCTGGATAGTACCACCCATCCATACTAAACCAAACTAGTGGATAACTTATGAAGCCCCTACAAATGTGGATACACAACCTCCTTTCCAAACTCATCTTAAACTAAGCACATATGGAATGTTCAATACTGAAAGGTCACAAGTCTCAAATGGTCGCCTTATAAGGTTTTTCTCCCACCTTCTTGCCATGCATTCGTAGTGTAGTGGTCAGCACTCTGGGCGTGTATTCCAGAGGTCCATGGTTCGATTCCCGGCAAGGGCTTTGCTCATTTTTCATCTCTCCAGCTTCGAAATAACCTAATGATCCTACAGTGGTTCTCGAACTAAAAAGTGGTGAACGATGGTTCTTCACCACCAGGATTTGATGAGTGGGTCCCCTAAACCACAGTCACCCTTTAAAAGGGGGAGTATATAATGTATTTCTCCTGCCTTCAGCACACTCGGCGCGTATTCGAGAGGTCCGTAGTTGGATTCCCGGCGAAGGCGTCACACATTTTACATCTCTCCTGCTTTCAAAAAATACCTAATGACTCTACAACCTAATACCAGCAGATACATACTTTCATATAATAATGGTTGTTATTCCCTACTAGACAGTTCACATTTTCAAAAACATTTTGAAACATTTATTTGCCTTCTATTGTTTAAAAGGTGATTACACAGCACACTGAAGGTTCTGCTACTACATTGTCACACTTCATTTTCAGGCAAGTTGCTTTGTGATTATCTTTTGCTATAATATGCATAAATATTTTTATCTTATTTTAAAACACTATTATACATTTTCTCCAAATTTCATAAAATAACCTTCATATCAAGCTTTTTAATACTTAATTTCTTAAACTGTTCCTTAAATTATGAAAACTAGTATCTTCCATTTAAATCTGCATATCTAAAGACAGAAGGAAGCCAACAAAAACATCAAACTAATCTGGAATTAAGCAAATTTCATGTGACTGTTCTAAATATTAAAAAAAAAAAAAAAAAAAAAAAAAAAAAAAATTACTACTAGTAATCACATGGGGAAAAGTTGCAAGAATAAAAACTTAATAATTGCAAATAAACAAACTACTTAAGTTTTTAATGAAATATTCAGATAAATAACAGTGCATGAATTTTAAAATAACTTATGTAATGAAAAATGGTAAAACTTAAAATTTAAATTAAAGATACAATTCCCATTTCACTTCTGACTGTAGTCAATTTTTATTAATAAAAACCTATGCAGTTTTTCATCCAAGATATATTTTTTAATTCTTAACAATATATATCACATATTCCATGAAATTTTTATTCAGAAACTGATATTTACATGCAATATATATATAAATACACATAATATTGTTGGCAATCCGAGCTAAAAACAATACCTTTCGACGTATGGTTATTTCACCAGATGTTGTTTTAAACCCTACACTTTCTGCTTTTGCTTGAATTTTCTGTGCTGCATTTTCTGCTGTATCTTTCACTTTGGCTATTAAACCTAAAATTATTTTCAAATAAAAGAGGAAAAAATATACTAAATTAAAAATAAACTATTTCACACTAAAAAATAGATAATTCAAAATACATTCAAAACTGCTTTTGTGACAATTTTTTTTTTTCCTTTGTGACATTTGTGATATTAAGCATGGTTCATATTTAAAGTATAATCATATCAATAAAGTTATGCAATGCTCCAAACACAGATCTTATTAAGCTCCCTCATTCATGCATTTTCTGTACTTATAATAACTTGAAAAAACACCATTAAGTAAGCAAAATATAAAGCACAGGTATAAATGGGCAGGCCACCAGAATTTCACCATACATTGTATACAGCTCTGTCCTAGTTTTGAAGGAAAACACTCCAATCCCTCTTTCCCCACCACTCATGAGGTATCACAGGGTATTATGAGTGACCCTTTGCCACACAGATACTATACACTAGCAAACCAAACCATTGAGTGTCATGCACAGATTACATGGTTTAAGTGTTCCAATTATTATCGTGAATCAAAGATTTTATTTTCCAAGTGAAATCAAATTTAAATGCAGCAACTTAGCTAAAACATGGAACAAATGGAGCCAAAAGGTTAAAAATTACCTGATAGCAGCAAGAAAGGAAAGCTATAGAGAAGCAATATGCTACAAAGATGGCCATTTTACTTAATCTCCTAGGTGAAGAAAATGTGGAGATTTTCAATAACTTCAAATGAGAGGAAAGTAAAAGGAAGGGAAAATCTTAAACTATGGAAATGTTTACAAACTATTGCATTCAGAGATAGAATAAGGTATTTGAAAGAAGAGGTTCAACACTTAATGGAGTTTATGACACCATTCACAGAATATACTGTGAATGGTGAATAAGAAGGTATGCTAATCAGAAATCAGTTAGTTCTGAGTACAAGAGAAAAATCTCTGCGAGAATGTTTGCTGAGGAAATCAGACCTGATTAAAGAAAGCTGACTTTCTTCAAGGAGCAGAGACTAACAGACTTCAGTTTGAAACACTAACATCTGCTCCAAATCCATGAAATCAAGACAAACAGTGTAAAACATTCAAAAAGGGGCATCTAATTTGAAAAAAAAAAAAAAAAAAAAAACAGTGCAAGCACTAATGTATTTCATTTCAAATATATGAAAGGAACATAAAAGTTTATTCACAGCTTATAGAAAACTGTGCTAAATGCAAAGGAAGAATCATTTTGTAGCTATACGCAGAACTTAGTGTAGTGGTCAGCACGCTAACAACAGCTAAGGAACAACAGCTAATGAAAAGTGAATAATAATAAGCAAAATGTGGATTTATATATTGATAATGTTTCAAAACACATCATGAATGTTGATTTGGTACCAATTAATGCATTAGATAATTTATGAATAAAAAGAGTTAACATTGAAAATAATATAATTTATTTCAAGCTTGACACAGAAGCTGAAATTAATTAAATCAGTTAGTTCTGAGTATAAGAGAAAAATCTCTGCGAGAATGTTTGCTGAGGAAATCAGACCTGATTAAAGAAAGCTGACTTTCTTCAAGGAGCAGAGACTAACAGACTTCAGTTTGAAACATTAACATCTGCTTCACAAATCCACGAAATCAAGATAAAGTGTAAAACATTCAAAAGGGGCAGCTAATTTGAAAAAAAAAAAACAGTGCAAGGGCTAATGTGTTTCATTTGAAATATATAAAAGGAACATAAAAGTTTATTCACAGCTTATGGAAAACTGTGCTAAATGCAAAGGAAGAATCATTTTGTAGCTATACGCAGAACTTAGTGTAGTGGTCAGCACGCTAACAACAGCTAAGGAACAACAGCTAATGAAAAGTGAATAATAATAAGCAAAATGTGGATTCAGAGATAGATACTGTCAGATAGATAACTGTACTTAAGAACATGAAGCTCTCAACAGATCATCAGCTAAATAAACTAAATGTAACATCAATGTTGTGTTGTAATTTTAAGTTAAAACCAGAAGGTGAAGTGTTACTGAAATGTTGTGTAAATTATTACAGTAATATTGCATTGACATTTATTGTAAAAGTTATCTTCCAAAGTAATCTTAGGTTTAAAAACTTGTCATAGATTAAATTTGGTACGAAAAATTTGTCTGATTCATTCACCCTGCTAAAGAGGATCTCATAAAAGTATATAGTGACATTTTTGGGAGTTAAAGTTTCCTGGTGAGCTGAATCCTGAAATTAAAGCTATGATTAATCCACCAAAGATAAATTCCAATCTCACTTTAAAATAACCTTAAGGTAACACTAAATAATTTAGAATCCCAAAGAGCTGTTTGTAAAGCTAGTAAGTCAACAGACTGGGTAACAGTCTGGTATTGGTTGAGAAAGCAAATGGGAGCTTAAGGATTTGTTCGGATCCTAGAAATTTAAATAAAGCCATGAAATATGAACATAATATAACACTTACTGAAGAGAAGTTAATAAGCAGGTTAGAAGGAAAGACAGTATTTTATATCCTTGATTTAAAGGATGGAATTTGGCGAATGGCTTTAGATGAACATACTGCAGATTTGTCTGCATTTAATACTCTTTTCGGCAAGTACCAGTTTCTAAGATTACCATTTAGAATACCATCAGCCTCAGGTATTCCAAAAGTGAAATTTTAATTTGCTTGATGATATAGAAAATATAGAGGCATATTTTGACGATGTTATTGCCAAAGGGAGAGTGGAAAAGTGAGAATGACAAACATTAACAAATGTTCTGAAAAGCCCAATACACTGCAACATTAAGATTGAACCTGAAAATTTCAAATGCAAGGTACCTGAAGGGATTAAGGCAGATCTACAGCATGTGAGGGTAACCACTGATATGAAAATTTCTACTGGTAAAAGAGGTGTTATAAGACTTACCGATATGGTGAATTATGTATCCATTCATACCCAAATACTTCCATTATTATGTTTCTTCTCAAAAATCTTAAAAACTTACACAGAATTAAGTTGGTTGTTAGAGCATGAAAATGCTTTTAAACAGATTAAATGTTTATTAGGCTAGTCAACTATTTTTAAAGTACTTAACAAGTCTAAACACAATGTCATATAACAGTTCAAAAGATGGTACAGGAGTACATCTAATTCAAAAGGGTTTTTGTATCATATGCATCTCGGAGTCTCATTTATGATTGAACAAAATTATGATCAGACAGAGAAAGAAAGATCAGAAGAAAAGACAGAGAGAAAGAACTGTTTTTACTCTGTAGAAATACAACGTTGTATGCAGAAAAATTCATATTTCAAAGTGATCATAAGCTACTAGCCATCATGAATAAATCAATATATAATATCCCACCCCCCCCAAGATTACAGAGAAATGTTGAAATTATTGTAGTATCAGTTTCAAATTCAATATGCAAAGGAAGTGGGATGTACCTTCCAGATACACTTTCAGAAATCCATCTCAAAGATAAAATAGCTGATGATCCAGATAGATTAACAATCGTTTATACTGTTAAGCAACTTCCAACAAGAGAAAGAAGCATGATTCAGTTTCGGAAAGCTGTTGAGTCTTACATTAAAACTAGTGTTTGAATATTTTAAAACAAATAGCCAACTAGCATAGAGAAAATTCCAGATAACATAAAATACTTTAAAATAAAAAATGACATACATATTGAATGTGGACTTCTTAACACTAGATTGCCCAAAGAAGTCTTTGGTCTGCTTTTTAATTTCAATTAGAAAAACAATTATATATATAATGTTCTTAGAATTTTGTGACTTTTTGTACAACATATAAATGTGTTTATCAATAATTGTAGTTAACCGCCTTCTTTCATTTCTGGTATATATATATATATATGTGTGTGTGTTATACCTATATTGCCCAAAAGCAGTCATTTTAACTGCTTGAGAAATTTTAAATAATTATTGAATTGAGAAAATTTCTTATATGACGAGTTCAGCTCTGTATTGAAATAACAGTTTTAATTTTTTTCGGTTACCGTCACATGTACAATGTACAAGTATGTGATAAATTGTCGATTTGGGTGTATATTTGATAAAATGCAGTTTCTCAATAAGCTAAAGTAGTACTTGTACGTTGTTCTGAAACTTGTTGAGCCATATGCAAGCTGTGAAAGAAATATCACGACTAATAACGTTTTCACTAGCATGTCACTCGCAACAAAATTATTGGCCAAAAAACAACTCTAGCTGGAACTATTAAAGGAAAGAAAAGAGAACTACCCAAATTAGCCAAACAAATGAAGGATAACATGCCTCGTTTTTCCACTCTGCTACATAAATTGGAGAATTTTGTTCTTACAATATCTAAGAGCAAACCAAATAAAAAAGTAGCTGTTCTAAGTTCTAAGCATAAATTTGGACAAAATTGATAAAAATAATTAAAAAAAATGTTAACAGAATCTATTCAATTTTATAACAGCACAAAATTTGGAGTTGATATGACAGATCAAATGCCAGAAAATATACAATAAAAGCTAGTTCTCATAGATGACCCCTCCAAATATTTTTCAATATTTTAGATTTGGTTGCTATAAATACTTGGATCCTTTACAAAAAAATGACAGGAATACAAATATAATGAAAAGAGTTCTTGTTTCATTTAGCAGAACAGCTTTCCACCGAACAGAGCTGCAAGACAGAAAAAGTCATCAGAACATGAAGACCCACAAAGATCAAACTGCAACATCATCAAATGCAACCCATTCTAACAAACGCAAAATTTGTCAAGTACGACTTTGCCACAACAGCAAAACATATGATATATGTGAAAAATGTCAAAAGTTTGTTTATGGAAGATGTACACATAAAAAGATTTCCACTTTCATCTTCAAAAAATGTACAAATAATAATGCATAAATTATTTCTTTTCCAAGTAATTTTTTTACTGCTAATATTTACTAATAACTTGATACATAACTGTAAATAATATAAAAAATGTTAAAAATTAATTTTAAACAAATTTTTTTACACATTATTTTTTACAATGCAGTCATTTTGACTATTTTGGGGC